GGAAAGTTAAAAAGTTTGTTCATTCGTTATATAATAATGTTCAAAAATATGATAACTCAGTATGTGGTAAATATATTGACCCTTCAGAAGTTTTCAAGAAAGCAAATGAAGAAGTTGATGTCACTTTTGATATGATTATTCCGGTAAATGATTTGTTAGCATTTCAGGCGTTCGATGATTATCCTAAATCATTTGGTGAAATCATTCTTAAATATTATGTTTTCAGGGATACTTTAGTATTTTGTCAGGTTGACCCGTTAAGAGTTGCTGATTTACAAAATTACGTTTATGAAAAGATAACTGATGAAAATTATGAAAAGATTATGAATCATGTTTATAAATATGATCGCAAATTCCAACAAATCGGACTTCCTGCCAAATTAATTACAAGCTTAGCCGCTACATCTGCTGACGCAACAGTTGATAACGTTATTATTTCATGCACAAAGATGGAAGTTTTAGAGGATAAATGCATTACACCAGGATACGGTTTAATTGAAGAATCAGTTAAAGCAATACCACGTTTATTCAGTAAGGAAGATCCATTCATGATTCCAGCTCAACATATTGACGTTCGTTCACTAAATGGAGGTTGCATCACTCCTGAAGGTATTAGCTCAGATTTCTCATACGCTCTTCATAATGTTACAGATGTTGTGTTAACATTTCCGAAGAATGCAATGCAAAGAACAGTTTTAGAAAATCCAATGCTTCGAGGTCTTCAGGTCACTATAGATTCCAGAAACTTCCCCGATCAAGCGATGACCACAGTGGGTGACATATTCTTTACACGTATGCTTCAAGCTTCTGATTTAGATGGAGTGAATGAATGCACAGAAGAATACGAGGACTCATTAACTAGACCACTGAATGATGATGATGGCACGCCATTAGCTAGAACATGGAAAGACCAAACTTCATTCTTATGCACTATTCCAGTTCAACGTGATGGAGCGGGTATATTCTTTGATGGATTAGAAACTTTCAACTCACAAGTTACAGTACAAGTGAAAGCTTATCCAATCATTCAGGGTGAAAATGACACTTACTGTTCAAAGGTGACAAATCCTCCTCAGGTTTGGTTTACTAGGACTACATATTGGACATGGACACCGGATGAAGGTTTGAAATATCATCCAACAGGTACACCACCACAGTATAGAAGTTCATATGATGAAATATTGATGAATAGAAATGTTTAAAATTATAAATTTATTTTTGATTAAATGGATTTAAATTCATCCACCCCTTATGAAGAATTAGGGAGTATATAATACATACGTAGATGATATGATTAATGAAGCATTGAGTGATAATAGAAATGCTCTATCTAAGGAAAAATTAATGAAAATTCCATATTCTGAATGTTACTTAAATTCAATCACTGCAGCAATTGGTAAACAAAATAAAGGTAAAACATTAACGATATTAAAACAAATTATCATTATTGCTAACACTTCCCCCCATTCACATGTGTTAATTTATATCAACCGTTCAGGTTCACCTTCAGATGATACATTTGAATCTTTAAAGCATTTAATCAAAATTCCAATTATTTATTTATCACAAGAAGAAGCAGAAGATTATTTAAAAAACTTTTTAATGTATAAAGAATTATATAATACAATCAAGAAGCAAGGATTAGAGGATAAAATTATTGATAAACAACGGGATGAATTATTTGAAACACTTTCTATTTCAAATTTTGATAAGAATTTTTGCATTCACTCATTTTTCTAGATGATGCAGTGAAATCAAAACTAATAACAAATGAGAAATCATATTTTAATCAGTTATTAACTCAATGTCGACACATTCAGTGTTCATTCTTATGGCTGTTCAATACTTTAAAGCATTAAGCACAAACATTAAATCAAACCTGTCCACCCTTTTCATTTTCAGTGGTTTTAGTCGTCAACAGTTGAACGTTATGCTTTATCAAGTGAATTTACCAATGAGCATTAATGAACTTTACACACAATATCAGCAATTAGGTGAACATGGAAAAATAATAGTTGATTTAAATAAAGGTTCCATTAAATTGATTAACTTTTTATAATTAATTTTTATTTTTTATTTATAATTAAACATGACAGAAATTGCAAATCTTCTACAGGTTCCATTAAAACAAGGAACAAACAAAAAGGGTGCATATAATAGAACTATGAAAGTTCCAGACGGAATGAAAGAATTAGTCCACATTGTTGCCGGTCTTCAAAAGGATGTTAAACAAATGAGAAACGTTTTAACATTACCAGAAGCTCAAGCATATGCCAAACGTCATGGACCAAATTGGGAAGCACACGAAGCAGACATTACGGGTCCAAATGGAAAACCTGATGGTATAAATGAAGTTTTCGTTACTGATGGTCAAGGAAATATTAAAGTCATAAATGGGTATAAATTAACAATGACGGATTATCCTAAACGTAAAGCATATAATGAACGTTATCCTATGCAATTTGATGAAAATGGAAAAGCTGTTAAACAATACATTGGAGAAGGTGAAAATGGTCCAATTAATTCATACCGTCATAATCCATATTCTTATTTCAATGAAGAATTAAATGCTATTGAAGAGGGACCGGATGGATTACCTCAATATGTTAATCAGTTTGATGGTCAATATGCAAATTTGAGACCTGAAATTCCAGCTAAGAAATTCTTTAAAGTTGCTTTATTCGATCCAGTGTTCAATGAACAGAAAGAAGCAATGAAAGCAGAATTTAAACCAATTCAAGTGGCAAGAATTTCTTCATCTTCACTTTCAGAAGCGTTCAAGGAATTGATAAAGAAACCACTTTATTCTCAACAAGGTTATAACTTTGATTTAATTAAAGAAAGTGATAGACGTAAATTAGAAAAATCAGATGGTTTTAAGAATGCATGTAATGAAATGATTAAAGATATTGTAAATGATAAAATAAGACTGGAAGAAACTCAAAGCAATATCAATAACATAATTGGTGCAGTTACAAAGAAAGTATAAGCAAACAATGATGAACCTTGGGATATTACCGTAACAACTAAATAAAACTTTAAATATATTTTTCTTTTTTTTATTCAATTATAAATGAGAAGACGTTTCACAAGTCAAAAGAACACAAACGCAAAAGCAGAGATTACGGTTGGTTATAACGTAAATGATGATAAATCACGAATTATTCAAAATGTTAAAGTTAATGTTAGTCCTGAATTAACAAGGTCAGCAACTCAACCAAATTTATTAACTCGTGACTTACCAAAGAAAGAGGAGGAGCAAAATAAAGAAGATGGAGACCCAATCATTTTATCTGAACCCGGTAAAGAACCCGTTGAAATTCCCACTTATCCAACATACCCCCCACCTCTTTCATCAAACATCGAGAACCCAGGAATCTACGATTCCAGTCGCAATGCGCCATATAAAAGTAGACATTAATTCTGAATTAATGAAAATTTACCGTGATATAATAACTAATAATTATGATTCAATAATAAATTTAATTGACCAATCCGGTTTAATTATTTTACCTTATGAATCATTAATTCACATTATCGCCATTCTTTGTGATGTTCAAGATTCAGACGTTAAGATTCAATTTTTCATAGATGATGAGGTTTCATGCTGCGGAACAGTTGCAAAAATAAATCCTATAAAGGATATTAGCACAATTAAGATATCAAAGAACGGAACAACAACTGAACTACATTTAACTTATAATAACATATACAATAAAATAGTTGATGAATATAAAATATCACTTGAAAAATTCTTTGTTAAGGCTATTTAATATTCAAGCATTAACATTATCGAATAATAATCCTTTGAATCATAATCAATAATAATTGACCTTTCACCAGTTTCTATCGTTTGTTTTATTTCTTTTTGTTCCCCACTATCTGGATCAGTCATTGTAATTGTTTTTGTTATAGTATCAGCTTTATCTTTAACTTCAATCTTTTTTCCATCAGGATATTTAAACCAAAATTCCAAAAATTCGATATTGTCAATCTGTTCATATTTTAATCTATCAATTACATTTTTAATACCATCTGAAAATCTTATGAAATGGTCATTATATGGGTTTGATTGAACTAAATTTGAATGAAGTGAAATATAACCTGATGATGAATATGACATCGACTCATATTTTCTGAAAACACTAAAATTTATAACATGAATGAATTTCTTATTCGTTGAATTTATGAATTCTTGAGGTAATCTTATTCTAGTTTTATTTATCACTGGAAAATAACGCTTTACCATATTTTTAATCGTAATAAAAATGTCAATTATCAATATTATTTCGAATAATACTGTGAATTAAATTTAACAGTTAGCGGAATTTATAATGTTACTCTCGTTTCTGTGAGTGGTAAATTTAATCCCATTCTTTTAGACCCTTCAGATTATATATCATTTATTAAAGATGACCTTGAAAAAACGTATGATATGTATATAAATAATGTGATAGCGAAATGGGATATTAACATGATTTTAAGTTATTTAAATGAATCATTTATCGTATGGTAAAGGAAATTTTAAATCAAAACCTGATAAACTTTTTGAACTTGATGAAATAAATAACCTTATTAAATTCCCGCTGAAAATTAAATTTTGTACTCCTCATTTTCGTTCATTGTTGGGGATATTAAATTTTGAAAAAGATGTTGGGGATGTTTTGTATTCTGACACTGGTTCCAATTTCATTTTAATCAAATGTGATAAAGTTAATACCCCAATGAGATTTTCACATCAAACATTAGACCCTAACTCTTACCCATCAATACAAAACATTTTATCCATCAACTTAAACACATTTTCTTTATCATATCCGTTTCAATTATCCGGGAATTCGTTTATTCTTCATTCAAAAGATTTATCAAATATTAAATTTAGAATAACTGACCTATTTGATTGTGATTTAGAATTCATGAATGAAATATTATGGCAATTTCAAATAGAAAAAATAGCTGATGAGATAACAGATTAAATATTTATTTTTAAATCATAATAAATGATTAAACAACAGCAACCACAACAACTTAAGGCACAAAGCACCCAGGTCCCTCAGACCATTACATACGCCATATATGCATATAATTCAAAGACGGCAGAACAAACGCAAAGGTTGAAATATGGAGATTTGGAGATAGTATTGAAAAATGACCATTTCGAATTCGTTTGCAAAGGTGGTGCAGTGATATCAAATATAAAAGAAATTTTATTTATGAATTCAAAAATTAAAGGAATAACGGATGATATAACATCAATTCCACCAGAAGAACAAAGATATTACGCATTAAATGCATTTCCTAAAGTTTTGAAGATTGGAAGATTTAATTTAAATGAGGAATTCATAAAAGGTTTCCTAAATGACATAATGAAGAAGGCAGATAAAACATATGTCAACAGTGAGTTAATGAAGAAAGCAGATAAGGAATATGTGGCTAGTGAGTTAATGAAGAAAGCAGATAAGGAATATGTCAACAGTGAGTTAATGAAGAAAGCAGATAAGGAATATGTCAACAGTGAGTTAGAGAAGAAGGCAAATAAGGAATATATGGATAGTGAGTTAATGAAGAAGGCAAATTTGGTTTATGTTGATGAAAAAGATAATGAAATTAAAGAAAGGGTTGAATGGTATCATGAATGGACATCAAAGATTTTAAAAACTAAAGCTGATACAGGATGGGTTTCAGAATGTTTAGACCTTAAAGTGGATAAAACTTATGTCAACAGTGAGTTAGAGAAGAAAGCAGATAATGAATATGTCAACGGAATATACCAAAGTTTGATAGGAACAACTAAAAATATTGAAACTATTGTTGGTGACTTTTCTGTCTATGAAGAAAATAAATATTTTAGATGGCAATTGGTACACTCCTTAAAAAATGGTATACGGTGTAAACTCATTCCGAAAAATAACAATGAAATGTATGTAAGCTATATAAAGAATGATGGTACACAAGTTAAAGTTCCATTAGACAACAACTGTTACTTAAACTTATATGGAGACGAACAAAAGAAATATTTAAGAGTTTATGAAATGACAGATATGACATTGCCTAACCCAGCTCCAGTACCATATTATTATGACTATGGAGATGATGTCAGAACGCCACATGTAGATGAACAAAAGTTAACATTATATTTAGATTATTATAGATATAAAAGATATAATGCAATAGAAAAAACGAGAATAGTATATTATTATATAGATGACAAAAATAAATATTATAGTCAAGATTTTACCTACCCTGAAAACATAAGATTATATTATAAAAAATATTCTAACACAAACCAGAAGAAACCTGAAATAGTTGCACTATATTTTAAGTTCAAAAGAGACAATCCTATATTATCTCATATGTTTGATTTAATGAACCCAGTAGGTTCTATTTATACATCTATGGATGCAAGAGGTCCTCAAGTAATGTTTGGTGTTGGTGCATGGGAACAAATAGTCGATAGGTTTTTGTATTGTGCAAACTCTTCAAAGGAAATGGGTGGAAGTAAAACGATTTCAGGTGAAAATTTACCTGCACACAGTCACTACATAGATTTAAGTACATCTCAAGCAGGTTGGCATAAGCATAGATATTGGGATTGGTCAGGAATGACAAAAGGTAAAGGATATGATGTTAAAGACGACGTTAAGTTTGCTATAAATTGTTACTGGAGTGACACTCAGGGAGAAGGAAACCATACACATTTCGTTTCAGGATATACACAAACAACGGGACAAAGTAAAGATTACATGCCACCTTACATGACAGTTTATGCATGGTATAGAGTTCAATGAACGCTCAATGTTTGTGAAACAAACTTTAGAACGGACTGAAAGTCCTGAGCTCCAAAAGAGCGAACGGCATAATTTAAATTTTTATTTTAGTATAAATGACAAAAATAATTAAGCCAACTATTTCTAAATTAATGATACCAATGAAATCAAACAGGTTAGAGGAACGTATGTAGACCCAAGACTTATAAACTATATAGCAATGTGGGCTTCTCCAAAATATTGCATAGCAGTTGGAAAAATTATGGACTCCATAGACAAGAAAGTTCATGAGAAATTAGATGAAGAAGAACTCGAAGATACAGTAGAGAATGCTAAACCTTTGTTTGAAGAAGAAGTTGGAAAAACGTGTGAAAAACAATTAGAACATGAACGTGAGATATGTTATGGTTATAGAGATTCTCCATACGAACTAGACCAATGGGAACAAGAAGATTTAAAGAGAGAATTTAGAGAATATGAACTCGCTAAGATAGCATTTGAAGCTGCAGAAAAGAAGTTAAAAGTTTGGGGTCGTTTTGTACAAAAATAACGTGAGTAAATGAATCATTTATTTTTATCATAAACAACCAAAAATAAATGTTTACGTTAATGGTTTCATTAATGATTTTAGGTTATTCAAAAATGAATTATTTTTGAAGAACTGAAGGTGCTACCGTGTTACCATGTGCTACCAGGTCAATTAACTTCTTTTAAAATTACTGACAACATGACATTTTGACAACATCATGGGTTGAATGCAAAAATAAATTCCAATCATACTTTATAAAGCATCATTTACAGGTATTTCATCATCAGTAAATGAATCCTCATCATCGTTTGGTTCAACCTGTTTATATAATCCTTTCATTTCTTCTTTCAAAACATAACACCATGTTTGTTTACCATCTATTCTTCTATGTTTCCTATCACATTTATCCTTAATACTCATTTGAAAATTCTTGTCTTTCATGTCTGATGGTTTGCAGAATAAAGCATTTTTACACATCATACCTGCACACAATTCATCATAATGTGTATTTATCCATACATCTAAAGGATTTGTTGATAATTCAATTAAATCTTGTTTGGCTTCAGTCATCGGAATGATTCGTACATTAAATGATGAAAGGTCATATTGCATAAAATACGTCAGTAAATTATCATAAAATTCCTTTGTGCATGAATCCATCAAATTCTTGAAGTAATCAAATTGACCCTTAAATTTACCATTAACTCTTAAAACTACATATCTTCTGTCTCCAACTTCAATTTTGACAGGGTAAACGTTATTAGTTACGAAAATGAAATTGGCAACATTCTGAGCGGTTCTTCTGGGTTGATTCTTTTCATTAATTCTAATCTCATTATCCGTTATAATTGATTTCAAAGCGTTGAAGTTTGCGAGTCTGTCTTCACCTACATTCTTGAGTTCGTTAAGTACAAGAAGCATTTTATTCTCAACTACTGAATTGAAATTACCCGTTAGCTCACTTATTTCAGTAATGTTTTTGCATGAATAACCGGCGAGAAGTTCAGAAATAATGTCTGTAAATCTGTTTTTACCTGTTCCCTGAAGTCCTTTCAAAATAATTGCTGTTTCATTCTTGATTCCAGGATGTTGAATCATTGATGCAATCCAGCCGAGTAGGTATTTATACACTTCATCGTTATTATCACAAATGGCTTCTTTAATGAAATTCATAAACATCTCAATTTTTGAGTAATCAGGCTTTTCAAGAATGTTGTATTTATAACCCTGAAACGTTGAGAAAACATCTGGGGAATCAGATTTAAAGCAAACACCCTTAACGGTTAATGAGGATAATTGATTTAATAGTACGTCCCATGCTGTTATTGTTTTACCTTCTTCTTTAAATAATTTAATCATTTTAAGTGACTCTTTCATGTTTGATTGAAGAACGAATGATATTTGATTCATTTTGTCGTGGATATTATAGTCCTTTTGAATGAAATATTTATTTCCACAATCTACAAAACGGATTACACGTGATAAATCCTCAATTACTTCAGAACTGTTTTTATACTGATGATTTTCAGCCTTGCGTCTAATATCTGTTATCAAAAACGAGTCATCAAGTTTGATATCAAATGTTATTTTTGGCTTACGTAATAAAGGTAAAACGTATTCATCATAATATTCCTTTTGATAAAGTTTTAGAATCTTCACCAAAACAAATGGAGAAGTCATTAAATGTGCATATCTACTACGTGCTTTTTCAAAATTACTTTTTGCATTTTCTGTTAAATTGCAGAAGTTATAAACGTTGTCGTATGCTTCATTAATCAAATGATTAGGTAACGAATTAATTGCTTGAAACAGTGTGAATAATGTAACTTCTTTTTCTAAATTCATGTTTCCACCGTCATTATGTACTTCAAAATCACAGATGCCATCAACTATGCTCTGGGCAAGTTTATCGTCAATGTTTACATCTTTGTTTTCATTCATGATATTCTTTATTTCTTCGTTCTTCTGTTCAACTCTTACCTTAATATTCAAATCATTTAATATATCGTTTACTGTTCTAGTTAATGTTGAATCATAACTTCCACGAATGAATGAGTATGTATTGATTGGTTCTGATGCATTCTTGCGAACTCTTGAATCAGCCATAACTACTAAAGAACGCTTTGAATCATCAATAGAAGTCATTATGTCAATATCATAATCATTGCAGGAATAACATTTAATCATTCTGTTCGAAACTGCATAGAAGAAATTAGTGTTGCAATAAATGTGAAGACCTCCTGAAGCGGTTTTAACGATAACATCTTTATCCGAAAGTTTTGATAAAATGTCTTTTCTAACTGTTTCTTTAAGTTCATCATTGTACGATTTATTGATATCAACATCTATAATCGTTAAATTTGATATTTTATTTACTAATAAAGCCATACCAGTTTTCCTTCCTCTTCCTCCATCATGTTTGAGGTAGTTATGTAAATCAATCTTGTTTTCACCAATTCTTTCGTTGAGGGTTTTAGTTTCTGCCATAACTAATTCCTCAACTAATGAATCAATAACTTTTTCATCAGAAACAATATAGTCACTATTGTTGTTTGTTGCTGTCATTTATATAGGAATAAAAAAATAAATATAATTTTAAAACTAACTTTATTTTTGGGCTACATCAAATTTCCTATGTTGTTGTCAAAATGTCATGTTGTCAGTAATTTTAAGAGAAGTTGAATTACCTGGTAGCACACGGTAGCATGGTAGCACCTCCAGTTCTTCAAAAATAATTCATAATTGAAGAACCTAAAAACATTAATGAGGAAGGCATTCATGAAGCATTAACGAAGAACCTATGTTGTTGTCAAAATGTCATGTTGTCAGTAATTTTAAGAGAAGTTGAATTACCTGGTAGCACACGGTAGCATGGTAGCACCTCCAGTTCTTCAAAAATAATTCATAATTGAAGAACCTAAAAACATTAATGAGGAAGGCATTCATGAAGCATTAACGAAGAACCTATGTTGTTGTCAAAATGTCATGTTGTCAGTAATTTTAAGAGAAGTTGAATTACCTGGTAGCACACGGTAGCATGGTAGCACCTCCAGTTCTTCAAAAATAATTCATAATTGAAGAACCTAAAAACATTAATGAGGAAGGCATTCATGAAGCATTAACGAAGAACCTATGTTGTTGTCAAAATGTCATGTTGTCAGTAATTTTAAGAGAAGTTGAATTACCTGGTAGCACAGGTAGCATGGTAGCACCTCCAGTTCTTCAAAAATAATTCATAATTGAAGAACCTAAAAACATTAATGAGGAAGGCATTCATGAAGCATTAACGAAGAACCTATGTTGTTGTCAAAATGTCATGTTGTCAGTAATTTTAAGAGAAGTTGAATTACCTGGTAGCACACGGTAGCATGGTAGCACCTCCAGTTCTTCAAAAATAATTCATAATTGAAGAACCTAAAAACATTAATGATAAAATAAGTGATAACAAAATTTTATTTTTATCATAAATGAATACCCCACAAGCTCAAAATTTACCACGAATCATAACAAGGGAGGAAACGATAAAAATGATGCGAGAACTTGCTAAAAATAACAAACCACTAAAATTGAGAAAATGTGGTTATGCAGTAATGATGGAAAGAGAGATGTTGTCGAAGAGGAATAAAAATTAAATTTGGATTGAGTTTAAAAATTCATCTTTATTAAATTCATCTCTTCCAATCAATTTATTTATTCTATTAAATTCTTTTATTTTTGCTTCACTCAGTTTGAGGATTGAACGGTAAGTTTCTAATTTTTCGATTATTTCTTTCCTCTCTTTATCGTTTTCAACCCCACCGCATTGCGGCTTCTTTTTGTAATAGCATATTTTTGATTTAATTCTGTTTAGTTTCTTTTTATATTCATCGTCTGGACTCTTGACTGCTTTGTTGTCACTCATTTCTTACGAAATAAAAAAATTAAATATTATTTAGATATAATGGAGTAATAAAATAAATCGGAATTTCTATTAATTTATTGTTAACCTCAACTAATGCATTGCCGTTAATATATCTAACAAATTCAGCTATTGTGTCAAATCTTCGTCTTCTTTTTGTCATTGATTTATCAGTTTTTCCATAATCGAGATGAATCAAAACTTTATCCCCTTGTTTAAAATTCATGAGCCCCAAATTAATTTGTTCACGTTTAACATCATTCAACCTTTCCATTTGCTTTCTAATATATTCCCATTCTTTTGAAATATCATTTTTCATTTCCACTGGTTTCATGTTTATAGTTCTATGCCATGTATTATTGTAATAATATACTAACTGCTGTATGATGGAGTCATGATTTCCATCCCAGTATATCTGACCGTTAACCCCTAACGCATCTCTAAGAGTTCTCATTACCGCATCAACTATTTTATTATGAAACGTATATGGAGAGGATGAAAGAAAAAATTAATTTGTGGGAAATAATGAGTCATAGCTGCCTGAAATCCTTTATCACCATCACCCCTGATATTATCTACTCTTTCATGATCTAGTAAGTATTGAATAGCTCTTCTTGTTTCCTGTTCTGTTTTCCCTTTCACTGGAATGCAATATAAATATCTAGTGTTAATGTTAATGGCAAATAAATAAGTAACGTTTCCTTTTGAATATTCCAGATGATCGATTTCGTATGAATATGGATATGGTGCAAATGAGGGGCGACTAAATTTTTCCTTTAACGGTTGAATTTTCGGGTCAGTTGGTTTATTTAATATCTTGAAACCCTTTTTAAAATCTTTTTGCTTCTTTAATGTTTGAAATGGATATAATAAAGTGAATGATGAAGGATTAACTGAAGGAGGAGGTACTACTGTTGGAGGTTTTGGTGTTGCAAGTGATTTAATTTTATCTGCTTTGATTTTGGATTTCATTCCTCCTTTCATTAATTCTGGATGTATTCTATTCATTTGTTTTAAATATACTGTATATAAAGGTTTGATATACTTTCCCGCTTCGAGTTTATGTTGAAGGATGAATTCCAAAAGTTGATCTTCATTTAAAAGTCGGGCTGAATATGGTTTAACTAATGAATCATAAATTAAAGCTTGTGCTTCATTTATGGTCTGAATGACCTGGGCGTTTTGCACCTTTTGTTTTTGTTCCTTTGTTTTTTGCAGCTCAGGATTATATAATTTATATAATTCATCAATATCTTCTTCTGTTAATACTTTATTTTTGAAATCTTTCAATTGTTTAAGTTGTGATTTAGTTTTTCCCTTTGAATATTCATTATTTTTAATTTTGTCTTTAATTTCAGAAATTATTTTATTATGATATTTCAAAATTTCATTTTTATAATATGGATAATAATATTCCATATCATCACCCGTTATATTATTATTATATTTTTGGAGATATGATTTTAATTCATAATAACTAAGAAATTTTTGATTAAGTACTAAATCAGCAATTAAATTTTTTAAATTTGTGTTATCCATTTATATAAAAATAAAATCAATGTTTTAAGGGTGCCCACCTCTTTGAATCATAGTATCAAAACCATCATTAACGGTTCCTTTTGTCTCTTCTGTGGTATTTTATTAAATAAATGGCATACAACATCCATTTTCACAACATACAGCCTTAGTGTGTGCTCCTGTTAATGCAGTCTTACCAATTGTTAAGCGAGTCATTGACCCATTTTTAAGTTGTAAATTAATATTCTGACCATCAAATATCACTTTATCATTTATTATATCCAAATAATTTTTAGGTGTTAATTGTTTATTTTGTCGTAAACTAACTCCTTTCATTTTTTGTGCAATCTTTTTAAAATCACTTCCATCAATTGAACCGTTGAATGATGTATAACACTTAGGGCATAAAGCAACCATGTTATCACCTTGTTTCTCAATTGCTAAACCCAATAACTTCTTCTCATGTGCTTTTTCTTCAGCTTTATTCTTTAATTTAGGTTTAAATTTCTCATCAAAACAAAAGAAATCAAAAGGTGCGAATTTGAAAATGTTTTTATCATAAAATTGTTTATCAGTAACAATTGCTTGAAATGCTTGAGTGTTAGGAAGATTTGGGTCGCCAGCGATTGCCCAATAAGATGAATCAGTATCACCTTCAATGAAATGAAAACGATTAACATTCATGCATTTATACATAAAATCATAAATGAAAACCAAATACCAGTATTTAGCATTATCTAAAGTGAAGAATGCCTCTTGTAAACATGTATCACATCTATAAAATCTATCTTTGAGCATCAGTTGATATGTATCTTCACCTATTTCTCTTATGTTTTTAAACTTATTTGACATACATGCAACGCGTGCCTTCTGTGCATTCATTATTTTAGTCTTTGCGTAATTTTGTGTATTCATTGCATCGTAACATATGATCCATTAAGTGAAATCTTGCAAAAAACTTTTTCCTTTATTTCCTTCTAATTCAGCCTTTTGTCTTTCATTCATAAATTCGTTCGCAAATTCATTAAAACAAGTGTTTTTAGTAAATGTTAAAATTGATTGAATGTCATCGATGATAAAATGAAATCTTCGATTAGATACCAAAGATAATAAGAAGAAAATGGTTGATATTGGTTGTGTGTGTTGATGCTAACTGAGTTAATTTCCTCTGTTTCTGGTCAACTGGTAGATTGTTTGATTTCATGTAATTATACATAAAACTGCCAATTGTTTTTTCATCTGTGATAATATCTAAGTTTCTTATTATCGGTAAAAAGTTTATGTAATCATTAATGTATTTTTCATCAATGTGACCCTTTACTTCAGCCACGAATAAAGTATTTTTCTTCTTAATTATTCCCAGTGCTTTTGCTTTCTTTGTTGCTGTATCACAAATGATAACACCATTCAATCTTCCCGGCATATACATTTTATGGTCAGTATATTGAATGAAATCATGAGGATTAGATGAAAATGATGAAGGATATAATGAATTAAAATCAACACAACGAAATGAGTCATAATGTTGGTGTCCTCATTTGATACAGTTTTAGTTTCTGGATTATATGAAAGTTTATTAATGTGCGTGATTCCTTTAAGATTAACACGATGTTGAACATTTGATAGACCACCAGTAATTCCATTACGGAGAATGTGATAAGCTTCAACTGAATCTAAAGTCATTGGTAAATTATTTTTTAATGCATAATTTCTTAAATTGATTCTTAAACGTTGAACATCTTCATCTTTATTTGATTTTACGACATTGCAATAACAACACATTAACTGACAATTTTCTTTGGTATGTGGTTTTTCATTATCTATTCTATCCAATGTTGGTTTATTTACATATGTAAACGCTTTACCACACATTTTGCATTTAGATGAAAGGATTAAATCGTGATAGTATTGATAGTCATCCGTTGAAACATTATTTTTAGTATCTCTTTTCGCCTTTTCATCTTGTTTCTTATATGAATCAATTTTATATTTCCAATACTTTTTTGTTAATTCAAAACTTGATTCTATCTCTTCCTCAGGATATTTTTCATTAGGATTAAAGTCTTTATATGCTAAAGCGTAACGAATCATTGAAGCATTCGATGATAAAGAAAGATTATGAAGCATGTCAATTTTATAAACAAATGTTTCTTCGATAATTTTATCAATTGGGTCAATCATAATTTCAACGTCTTTATTGCAATAATGAATAAAATATTCTAATCTATTCTCAAAATTTTTAGCATCATTGAGATATATTTGATAATCTGAATCGGATATTGTTTCTTGTGTTAATGCTGAATAAAATGAATCTTGAGTGAATGGTTCCACTTATAATAATTCTTCTTCGTAATTCTCCCATGTGATGAATTGATAAGGGAAAAAGGATTTAACACGTGATTTATTGTTTCCGAAATCTTGAGTGAATTGCTAATGTTCCACCCGCTATATAATTTCTGATGTCAATAAATCTTAATTCATATGGACAGTTTGTTTTCTTACTATGACTTGCTTAAATTGAGAAGAAGAACCCAGCATTGATTTTATCTTCCATTTTGCAGTATTTAAATCACGAAGAATTAAATTTAAATCAAACTTTCCCGAATTAAAACCAATGATATTCACTTTATTAAATTCTTCATCTAAAAGCTCTTTCATTGCTTCCTTTTGTTTCTCATTTAATGTATTCATTAATTCTTCATATTGTTCAATATTTGATTTAGCAACTAATGAACAGGTTGAAAATAAAAATTCAATCCAATCAGAGATGAACGAATCACTTGATGTTAAGCAAAAATTCCTCGTAAATGTTTTATCACGGTCTACGACCTCGCCGCTTTGCGGCTTTATTTTGACAGTTGATGATACCATAAATGGTTTTAAGTAAGCGTTCAAAGTTGCACATTCAGAAAGTTGTAATTCTTCTTTAGTCTCTAATGTTTCGAAGTCAAAAGTAATATAATATCTTGTTGGTTTATAATATTCCTGCAAATTATGTGCTAATAGCCATTGATATATCTTCTGTTTCGTGATATGTGGTGCATATGGTTGTTGTGTGTTTTGCAATTGAACGTCTTGAATTAATCTTCCATTATTTTCTTTACATTTCTCACAATGTTTTAAAAATCTTCTTTGGTTTTTCCTTTCTGGATCATCACGGATAGAATATACTTCTTCTTTGCAAAAGGGGCAAACTTTATATCCTGTGAGTGCTTCAACGTCTGTAATTCTGTCAGCGTGAAGTTTTCCACATGGACTCTGTGTTAATAAAATATTTACTGTTTCAAATTCTGGATCTATCATTATTGATTCCACTAATGGAAAGTCTACCTTGTTAATGTCTACGTCTTCTGGTTGAGGGTCACAATAATAAAAATCAATATTAACGTTTAACATTCTTGCTAACCTCTCACTTTCTGATGAAATGTCAAATCCTTCATATGCATCTATGGCTTCATTTAAATAACTTCTACGAGTTTTAGGATTAACACCATCAGGAATGTTATAGAAGCGTTTAAATAACCTTCTACCTTCGGCTCTTATTTGATTATCATTCATTTTAGCTGTTCCATTTTTGTTCATTTATGTAAGAATAAAAATTAAAAAATAAATAAAAATAAAGTTTATTTTTTTTAAAGTCCGAGACTCAGAGAGTCCAGGGCTAAAGTCCATAAAATGAATTAAGAACACATAAATTTTTATCATCTGCGACGTGACGAATACATTTTAATTTACTCAAGAATGCGTACCCTGATACATTAAATCTAATTCCTGTCTTATTTAATTTCACAACTTTGAAAAGGAATGTATGAATAGCTATAAAATGATGAGATGATGTTTTATGGGTTGCTTCCATTTTTTCTGAAATAAATGAATAAATATAATGTTTATAAGTTTTCATATCTTTTATGTTCTTAATAACGAATGGTATAGACCTTTCCACTTCGTCTTCCTTCGGTGCTGTTCTTTCATATGAAACATTATTGGTATCTTCAATAATGAAACCACAATCGCATAAAATTTTATATGTACCAATTGTTTCTTTTGATATTTTATCTAACAAATCAAAAACTTTATCAACACCTGTACATTTATTTAAATAATAATTTGTGTAAATATCATGGTCTTCTTTCTTAATCGTATTTGTTGCATATGTTACATTTTTCAGTGCTTTTTTGAATTTTTCAGAATCAAGAGGAGGTGAAAGTAATATACATGGATAATCTCCATCGTCAATAAACTGAAGCTTATGTTTATGAATAAATTTTGTGCCTTCTTCTGAAAGTGTTTCGTCAATATCACCATCTAATAAATTTTTAGTAGATTCCAAAAAGTAATTTTTATATCTTTCCTCATGTGATTTTTGAACTTCTGATTCTGAAGCTGGGATATTCATTAAACCCTCTACTTCATTTTCATTATATTTTTCAACTTCTCTTAATTCCTTAATTTTTTCATCTATTTCATCTCTTATTTTTTCCAGTTTTTCAATTTCATCATATTCATCATCTTTAATTCGTTCTTCATAATATTCAGGGAAAACATCAGGTTCTTTTGGTTTTTCTTCTTTAGATGTGGGATATAAGAAATTTATAACATCATCTTTATTCATTTTTCCATCATAATCAAATTCATTTAAGAACTCCGCGAATTTTTTACAATTTCTTAAATAATATTTATCAACTTCATAACCCGCCTCCTCTAATATATCCTTTATTTCCTCATTTGTGAATCCCAATTCTTTAACGTCGTTAGTCTTGACGCTCATTTCATACATAATAAAAATAAATTATTCAAAAATGTATGACTTCATTGATTCCATTTCATTAGTTTCTAATTTCTTTTTCTCGTTTATGAGGTCTTTGATTATGACTTCATTGATTCCATTTCATTAGTTTCTAATTTCTTTTTCTCGTTTATGAGGTCTTTGATTATGACTCCATTGATTCCATTTAATAATTCACAATCTTCATTTTTAAATTGAAGTTTAATCCATTCAGGATTTAAACAATGTTTAATTAATCGCGGAATATCTGACATCATCTATATATATAGCTTCTTTTATTTTTCATTACATTATGTATGGGCTGAGTGTAAATGTCTTACAATTTTGAATATTTTTAAATCTTGATTTATTCAAAAACGTAAGAATAAAAACCGTAAGAATCATACATTTTTTACTTCATATGTTAAAAAAAATGATACAAAATCGTTCTATATTGTATGAATTCTTACGTTTACAAAAAAAGTCACACAACCCTTCATATATACTACTAATATAATTAAAAATAAAATGAAGAAAAAGGAGAAAAAAATAGGTCCCAAAACCAAATACTAATAACTATGATATATGTATCTTATTGGGCGAAATTGGCGCCCTTCGGACGCCAATTTCGCCGGAAATTTTTTAAGAATTGCCAAGTCTGCATCCTTACTAATATTAAGTGAGTGTTTATATATTTTGGTATCTCAATCATTTTTAATAGAGAAAATAAAAATCTTTGATGAAATATGAAAAAATATAGTTCAAAAAAAAAATGAATGTATAATATCCAAAATATGCGTTTACTTAGCTAAGAAAACGTGGTTCTTCATCTTCTGAATCTCGATACCTCTGATTCTTGCATTATCAATTTCATTAAGCATTCCAGTAAATAGATCGACATCTGCTTTCGATGTAAGTCTTCCTAAGTAAGCCTGGCCAAGGCTGCAAACGATCTTATCTTTGACGTAGTTATAGATCCACTCTGAGTTAGCTTCGAGAGGAGATTGTGCAAGAGATCTTCCCCATGTTGATGTAATAACGTCTTTCAAGACTTTCCTGTCAATTTGTGATAAGTAATATTCGATTGATAAAGTGTAGTATTGGCTTAATGATTTCTTGAAATCATCGGCCTTTCCATCTGGAACGAATGAGTTTTCGGATTTTTCGCCACGGGCTTTGTCCGGAGGGAAAGTTCTGAAGGATCCCAAGAAAATTCTATTGTGTCTCTCTGTTTTCTTTGGATCAACGACAAGAGCGCATGTTCTTGTTGAACCTAATTGCATTTGTCTCTGTGCAATGACATCTGTAGCTGATAACCAGCAGCCATAATCTGGGTGAGAGTGGTACCATGCACAGCAGCCTGTAGCCTTCTTACCTGTCTTAGCTACTGATTTGGAAACTTCAATCAGTTGTGACCAAACAGCGCTTGAAATATCACAATTTGTTTCTGTACCAAGAACACTTGATGAGAAAACATCGTTGATGTAAAAATCTCTGGTGTTGACTTGTCCAATGCATGTTCCAATAATTTCGTTGTTGCCACCAGAAACAGCGTGATTTACCATTGAAATCAAAGCGCATGGAGTAACGAGTGTACGATTTGGATAGCTAGGATCTCCATCTAGAATTTTATTGTAAGCAGCACGCTTGCTACTATACTCTGTCGGATCGAAATTAAAGAAGAATTGTTCTTCAATCGCTGACATTTTTAATTTTTTAATTTCTGGCAAAATTTTTTTCTTCAAAATTATGACATTGTAAAATAAATTTTCTTATTTTTGCACTAGTTTAATTGTATAAGTTATAAGTAAACTATTTCCAAAATATAAGTCATTGATTCCATTTGAAATAATTATTTTCAGAAAGAATCTTGTAAATATATTTCTGCATGTGTACCAACAACATTCTTTTTACCAGTTTTCCATTGAAAATGATGTAAAAATGATGAAATAATGAACTAAAAATATATATTTATTCTATAAAAGAATATTGTATTATAATAACAAACAGTACACGGGATTTCAATCACATTTGAAAGTAAATCAATACGTCAATAGATGTAATGTAGCAAATGGTCAATAAAAATGCAATCGTAAAAAATTAAACTTGAACTTGATTTTCGTGATTTGTTTGTTGTTTGTTTTGCGAACCCTCGTGAGTGTAGACAGAATAAAGCTGATGGCTGTTCTGTGGGTAGACAAGCAAAACATCTCTGCCATAGTTTTCTCCTTGGCGAGGGGTGCACAAAGCTGGCTTATATGCGTACACTGGAACAGGGTCAACTTGAACTGTATTGTTTTCTATGACATAATTTTCATTACCTCTTTCAAAATGACAGATGGCATAATAAAGCATCACTCCGGCTACAATGCAAAGAGAGAGTAGGCATAGTTGGAACAAAATGCCCCATGTCGTTCCAAAAAGAAGGTGAAGAACTGACATTTGATTTTGATAAGATTATGTCAGAAATGAAAATCAATCCTCTCAAAAAATCAATGATAATAAATTACTAACAAAGAGATTAATAGGATATTGTTCCTTTGGAAAATCGATGAATTTCTCTCAAAATAATTGAAAACAGAAAATAATATCATGCTTCTATCATACTCAATTATTATGATAAACTTATGAAAAAATAAAAGACATTAAAGAAACAATTAGAAAAAATTTTAACAGAATATCAAAATGATTCGTTGATTTCAATATATATGACTTATAATTGAATAATAACATCTATTCCTTGATTTAAAATTTCCAAAAAAATTATAGATTTGCAATTTATCGAACAAAATCTGTTAAATTTCAAATTTAAAAATTAAAATTCGAATTTTTTTTGGAGATGGAAAAATTATAAATGTATAGCAAAAACATCATCCATAGTGTGCACATCTCAATTCCTGCTCAATTCATGAGAATTATATGAATGACTGATTTCATATGTAAAAATCAATTTTCAAAGTGCATTATAACAAAACTCACATTTTACTTAGCCAATTCAATAGAATTCAACTTTTCTTTTCAGTCAATTAGTTCCAAAAACTTTCAATCACACCAAATATTTATATTATGATAGCATACAAATGAATGACCATGCTGTTCAGAGAAATATCGTATATTTGTAAAATATTTAGTTACAAAAATTGTCTTTTACTCACTCACCCACTCCAATTATTTGCTCTGAACGGAATATCCTCAAATAACGGAAAAGGCAACAACCAATAAATTTTGTTCAAGTGGGTATTTGGTGTAAACCATTCTTGAAGATAAATTCATTGAGTGAAGATTGCCAACTAACGATTCTTTTGTTTCTCTTTTTTGATTGATTATAATCTTTAACTACATTTATAGGAAATGCTATGTTTCATGATTGAGGACAAAAAAGATGACTTTGTATTCTCAAATTGAACTTATTGATAATTTAATCTAAACATGGAGCTATCAGCAAGAAAATCTCCAAAAAAATTGCATTCGTAATGATTTATAGATAAAGCTTATCGCATTAATGCGTCCTTAAGGAAATATGCATTTATTTTGAAATTAATATGCATATTATTACATTTTTGAAGATATGACAACATTATTCTCCATGTTTAGGATTTTAGCTTCTTATAAAATTGTCAAATAGACATTTTTTCCAAAATTTCATAAGCTCCAAATAGATTTTGGATTCTCTCGGATTGTAAATATTTGTCTATAACATATTGCTAGCATAATTATCTAATCTAAGAGGTAGGCAAAAGATAATTGGTCGAATTGATGACTTTTTCATAAAATTGCATTCACACCTGTAAAAAATTATCGGATTGAGAAGTGAAGAGAAATAATTTCCGGTCAATTATGGATGTGAATTCAAATTTGGTTGGATGATTGGTCTGTGATATATTTATATATTCATTGAATAGGTGCGAATAAAAAGGAAATTGATAAAAGTGAAATCAATATAATATTACTCGTCAAAAAAATTCCCTTGAAGTCAGTCCAGGGATGGGCTAGTCTGTAATCACGAGTATTGCTTGAGGTAGTATAATTATTAAAATTTTAAAATTTTACTCAAATCGGAATTGATGCAGCAATTTATGTTTTTACTCGGCATTCTGGTCATCAGTCCAGAGCTGAACATTGTCCTTAAGAAGCTGAAGGATGAGTGTAGCTTCTGAGTACTCATCTTCTTCAAGCTTGTCGATGAGACCAACAGCTTCCTTGAAGGACTTGTCTGCAAGCTCGATAGCTTCATTCTTCTGGCCGATGATTTCGTAGAGGAATACAGAGTAGTTGAGGGCAAGGCCGAGGTACTGTGGATTAGCCTTGGAGAGGTCCTTAGCAAGATTCATAGCCTCTTCGTAAGCCTTCTTGGCGGCCTCAGAGCCCTGAGCGCGGGCGGCCTCGTCCTTGAATTCAACGGAGTAGCGGAAATAGTCTGCCTTAAGCTTCCAGTAGAATACCTTAGAAATAGCATCGTCAGCGGCTGGGAGGAGCTTGTCATCGACGAACTTAACGATAGAATTGCAGTAGTCATCGAGCTCCTTGATGAGAGAGTTACGAAGTTCGATAAGGCGGTTCTCGCGTTCCTTGGCGCCCTGGATTGATGGGTCTTCGAGGAAAGCGTTGACAGAGCGGAGAGCTGTACGGCGGTTGCCTGTGAGGGCCTTGTAAGCGACAGAGAGAAGATTGCGCTCATCAAGAGAAAGCTTTGGATCGATATCGATGATTTCCTTGATGTACTGGATGACATCTTCGTGGCGTTCGGCTTGATCGGCAACGCGGGCCATGAAGAACTTGAGCTCACGATCGCTAGACATTTGCTTTAAATGGAAATACCAGTCCGGACTGGTATTCCTATTCAAAATTGAGAGGAATAAACCTTTGAAAAGTAAACGATTTATAAAGATGCCATAGTTAAATATTATATTCAATAATTCTAATAATTATTAACTGCGTATAAAATAGATAACGATTAATTTACAATTCCAATAAAAAAAAACTTGGGACATTTGATTCGTGTTTTTCTCTATCGTGAATATTAGATACTTTAAAGGTATAGTTTTTCCAATATTTTCATTGGTCTCCATTTCATTTGAAATGTAAACTTCTTTTATTGCTTTCATTTTTTTAAAATTTTATTGTTCACTGCTATTAGAAGAGCAATTTCATCACTGTTTGGAAAAAATCGACAGACATTTTTACTTTTCGAATATGAATGAATTTTTAGGCATTCACCAATCATTATTCAGCCCGTTTCAAAACAATGCAATATAGATTCATTACCTCGCGTTATCCAAGATGATGCTCTGACTCTGAACGTGTTTTACTTGATTTCGATTTTCAAATTTTTCCCAAATGATTTAATCATCAAAATAATACTGTATATGAAGTAATGTTTATCTTCACATGCTGCTGCTACATTAATTTTATCAACTTTAAATCCGATAAACTTTTTTCTTGGTTCAATCGTAACACGCTGCCTATTCTAATATATAAAAATCACCCAAGATTACAAAATAGCATTCTTGCACTATTACTTCCTATCATAAATTTTTGAATTTTATATACGCTATAATGCTTTATTGATATTAATAATATTATCACATGGAATGAGTTTTACAATAATCTCATCTATTTTTTGTTAAAATGGATGAATATCTGTTAATTTTTCGATATATCAGCAATTCTTGTTCATAAAATACATATCATCTTATCGTTATATGTACATACTATGAAAAAAAAATTCCGTAATACAAGATAAATACAAACATTTATAAGATAAAATCATCTGGATCTGTCTCAACATCAGTAGAATCTGTCAAGACAGCTCCAATAGACCATTGAATTCTTAAGGTAGAGTTTTCCTGCTTTTTCTTCTTCCGTTGATCAGGAGGCAATGGATCTATCCAAAATGAATTCGATTTTCGCGATTCAGCCTCCAATTCCGCTTGTTTCTCCTCATTTTCTTGCACAATTCTAAGTAGCCTTTTCTGTTCTCGCCAGTCTGTGCGTCTCATCTTTTGGACATAAACTATTTTCATTTTTTCTTCTACTTCTTTTTCAAGTTCTTCAGATTCTTTGTCATCGAGAAGCTCTGAGTCTAAATCATATGCTCTTCTCTCCCAGAACGTAGGAACTCGATTTTCATCCCTTGGAAGTGAATATGTAAAACCATAGGCTAATTCGTCAGGGTTTGGTTCAAAATCTGGTATTATCATGTATAATTCTGCAACAGATTCAGTAGGACATTCATATCGATGGTAATCTCCACGAATTCTTCTTTCGAGAATCTCAAGCGGTTGATGAAGAGGTAAATATGCTGAAAGGTCTTGATTTTCTTGCGTTATTATTCTAGGTTGCGGTGTTTCGGCTAAACTAAAGGATGGTGTATGTATAATTTCATGATCTGGTTTGGAAGTATTTAAAAAAGACGTATTTTTAACATTATTTGCAACATTGTCTTGCACATGCTTCAGAACTTCATCTTGATTCTCGTTGACCCCGCCATCCATATATGGCGGCAAATTAGAAAAATGATTCTTAACAAGTATTAATAACTAATTTATCATACCAAGACTAAATAGTAATATATTTGAATAGTTAGATCAATCAATAATCTAATTTATTTTCATCATATTTTTTTTCTATCATAGAGCTAGAATCAATCGATTAAAATCTCAATCTAAACACATGTCTATATGAAACGATTCTATATCAAGATGAATCAAATGAATAATATTCCATTGAAATTCGTATCATCATTCTGATAACAGAGATATTGAAAAGCTACTAGATAATCTGTTTCAACATAAAAAATTAGCAGAAAAGAAAATGTTTCAAGAATTTTTAGATTTTTGATTTCAATTTTGATCATTTATTATTCTTATTAGGTGCCCATAAAGAAGATTTAAATAGAAAATGATATGTTAAGATTTTACTTAGAATAATAAAGCTTCTTTGTTGCAATCATTAACGAATCTCATGTAGTAAACCATTCCATTCGTTTCTGCCCTATACTTCTTCACGAAGAGTCTTAAGTAGTCATTTGTAAGTGTTGGGCAAGCCTGTGAAACCTTTGTTACGAAATCAGCTTCAGGCATTGTTGCATCTTGGTCTTCTACAATATCGAAAACGTTAGCGATTGTCTTTCTCTGCTGTTTCAGTCTTTCCATGAATTTATGGGACTGTAATTTGATTGTTTCCAACTCATCAGTTGAAATGTTGGCGTAATTAACGTGGTTTGCGTTTTCATCGATAGCCTTGAGTATTCTCAAGTAGTTGACATTATCTGTCTTCTTTGTATCGCTGAAATGATTCGATAACGAGTCAATAATTGATTGAGAAAGTCTGATTCCGCTATTTGAAATGCATCTAGCGAAATTAGACTTCGAAACAATTCCTGTCCTCTTTTTATCGAAATCTTTGAACATATCGATTGGATCAATATGCATTCTAGCGCATCCGAACTTGAGCTGTGCCAAGTCTGACTCCAAATCGTGAGGGACATCTGACTTCTCGAGAGATCTCGTTGTGCGACATTCCTCTGGAGGAGGAACATAAGAATAATCGTCGTTTTTGACTTCTTCTTCCGGCTTCGATTCTTCTTCGTTATCGTCATCGTGCAATGTATCTGCGGCCAATGTACCGAATTCATCGACATCCTTAAGGAACGACATGTAATAGATGTCTGTGCTGTTCTGGCAAGTGTAGAATTGGCAAAGATCAGATAATTCTTGTGCGGACAATTGGATGTTGACCATTGAAATTGTCTCAATGAAGAAAGCTCTTGGAACACGTCCTTTCTTGAGTTTATCTTTACGAAGGAACTCATCTGCAATATCGATTCCGAAATCTGATGTTCGCTTGAAGATACGACCAAAAACAGGGATCAAATTATCAGGAACTGGACGGTTTTCTGTTGGATTTGATGATGAAACTTGAATTGTATTATAAGTGGTCATTGTTCTAGATGAAGAAAGGATCTCACGCATGGAAGGTGAGAACTGGAGATTGCTGCTGCTTGCAGACATGTTGCCAACAGGACCTTGTTGGATATCGACATCTTCCGAAATGTGGCGCCACAACAAGAAATGCCTCATCTTCTTTTCCTCGTAATGATCTCTGATCAATGAGATATCTTTTTCTGTCAAAGTAAACTGAATTCTTCGAAGAGCGGCAATAAATTGAGATGTGGAGATTAATCCGGACTTCTCACGGTCATAAACAGAAAGGCATCTTGCAAGTCTAACACTTTTCTCGATAACATGGTTTCTGAGCCTTTCTAATACAGAATCAATTGTTTCGTCGAAATTAACTGCACGGCGTGCGTAAACGACCTTTGCAAACTCAATGTAGTTGACATATTTGTCTTCATCAACTGTAATAGTGTCGACAAATTCACGGATTTCGCGATCTGTGATATCGAATTGCAAAGCAATGAGAGTATTGACGAAAATTGTCTTAGGAACAAGGCCATTACCTGAACGATCATATGGCTTGAACATTGTCCAGATATTAAGACGACGATCATTAATGAAATCAATTAATCTGGCTTTGACATGTTCTATGACAACTTCTGGTGGTGGAGGGACGTATTTCTCCTGTGAGTAAAGGTTTGCAACACGAAGGAAGTATTTAACGTCAACTCTGCCTTCTTTTGTGAAAGCTTTTGTAATTTCTTGATAATCGGCAATTGTAAATGCAAGTTTGAGTGTTCGTAGTGTCTGTAAGAATTGCTGTGGATCAGAGAATCCTGTATGCGCGCTCAATTTGATGAAAACGTCTTGCAAAATAATACCATGAGAGTTAACTTGTTGAACAAACTTACGTACGATGTCAGGGATCTGATCTGGAGCGAAGTTTGACTCTTGAGCTGTGAATTTGAGATCGATCGTGTTGATTTCACGTTGAAGTTGTCTGTAATCAACCTGGTTTGTATTACGATCAACAGCGAGCCTGAAAACATGCATTGCTGAATCAAATCCGAGAAAGCCACGGCAAAATTGATCAGCAGTAACTTTACCAGTGTTATTTTTATCATAAGGTGCCATTGCCTCTGAAAGATTAGTGCATCTGTCATATAAATATCTTGCGAGTTCTTCATACTTTGAAGGAAGTTTCTTTTTAGGAGATTCTGGAGTTATAACGATATCTATAGGTTGATCTGGATGAACTAAATCCGAAATAAATCTAGCAAAATCAATGTATTTATCTTTCTTGTATTTGTGAACTAAGGCTGCTAATTCATCTGGATGGAATCTAGCTGGAAATGCAGCAACTAACGATCTGAATTCTTCTTCTTTGATTTCAGCACGAAAATCGGGATCAATATCTGGTGTAAGAACTTCAAGATCTTGCACTCTGATAACTTCTTTCATTCTTGAAATAATAGCATGGCAATATAACTCAATATCAGGTGAAAGCATTTTTTTATATCAAAAAAATTGTATCAAAAAAGGAGGTTTATTTTTACAACGCAATTTAATAAGTTAATATGTGGTTTGTTTTACCATGAATAACTTATATTTGTGATTATTTTTCGGAAACCAATATTTTGTAGAGCCAATGTCTTTATCTGAAGCACAAAGACTGAAATGCCTCGAGATTCTCGACAATTTAAGAAAGCATCCCATATCAGAGATGTTTGCTAAGCCAGTTGATGCTGAAGCTGATGGCGTTCCTGATTATTATGATGTTATCAAAAATCCTAGTGATTTCAGCACAGTAAGGAACAAATTAACTACATTTCAGTATAAGACATTTGATGAATTTAAACGAGATGTCAATCTAATTTGGGAAAATGCTATCCAATATAATACAAAGCAATCTTTCATAGCATTAATTGCAGAAGAACTTAGCAGACAGTTCCAAAAGCAACTCTGGCAATTCGAAAGTCCACCAACAGAACAATGGATTAATGATTTTTTACGTGCAAGAGTTACAATTACAAAACTCTTCAGAAATCCACCAACAGGAGTGGCTAATTTAGCATTTACAGCAAATTAGAAATACAATTTGAAATCTCATTTTATCATAGAATAGAGTGTTTTGTATATGAATATATTAAAAATACTGTTTAGAGTGATGTTTATTCTCTTACTATTTTTGTGAATTGCTATAGATTTTAATCGAATGTGAAAAACCTTATAAAAAGAGAGTTAAGCGTAGAACCCATATTGACTTGATAGCAATCAAATCAATTTCTTATTGATTTATGTAAGTTTTTTTTTCATAAAAATGTTATCAAATTTATTTTCTCACATTCGTTTTGGAGAACGTAACAATTTTGCTGACATTACTAAAAATCAATTGTTTATTTGTCTAACAATGTATTTTTACACGTTTTATTTATTTGCCCTGCATTTTGGCTTCAAGTTATAGCTTCCACATAAAACAGCAAGGAAGAGATATATAAGTATACACAAAAGAATTATTAAAGCGACACATTTAAGAGCAAAAGCCTTTTTCTTTGCTTTTTTCTGAATAGTAGACGAATCTCTTGCAAATGAATACTGGTAGTCTGTTAAACGTTCGGATATACTTGATGGTGGGAAAACTTCGCCTTGACGGGCTTTATCTGTCGTTGAAGATTCAATCATTTGACGTATAATTCTAAATTGAGGCTCAAAACGTGTATACAATTCATGAACTTGTGCAGTTCTCCATTCATTTCCATGAGATCTGATAAATCGACTTTTAATTTCATCAGTGAACTGTTCAGCCGTTTCTCTATCTGTCGTATCTTGTAAAACAAGAAGTATATTTAAATCTTGCTCATCATGAGCTATTACCCATAAGCAATTATCGACTTTTAAATAAGTTTTACCAACTGCGAAATTTGTTTTATTATATTGATCTATAAATATCTTTTCGAAGTTTCCTGGCTCCGGGGAATAAACTACTAGCGGCGTTGTTCCGCGGAAAACAGCTCCATAGCAAAATTTCATTCTAAAATCCGTCAAATTGGCAAATTTGCCACAAATTAAAATTCTCATTCTGACATATCACTTCATCGTAGAATCTGAACGAGCTTTTCACAGTTCAATTGATCGAAAATCTTTAATAAATATCTGCTCCAGTAAAAATGCATCCTAAATCCTTGTTTGAACAAGTTTTTTCTCAACCAAAATCTTACAGTTTCAAAGTTTGTTTTTAAGCCTGAAAAGCTTTTTGCCTTCAGTTTTTAAGGGAATTTGGAATTGCATACAAGAAAAAAGCTTTTTCTATCATCGGAATACAGATGAGTTTTGAACAAGAAGCTTTAGATAAAAAAATTGTAATCTAATTTTGAAAGGTACGGACACTTTTTTTCTAACCGGATTTAAGCCATATACTCAAGAGTATAGATTTCATATAGACCACATATACAAAATGTGCCGTATGAAGAAAATTGGTCTTGCCAATTTTGTGATATATTGATCTAGAATTATATTAGAAGATCTAAGTTAATAATGCATATGCTGATGCTCTGCATCATTTTTGTCGCTTGAATAATGCATAAATATATCATTCTTCAAAAGAATCTGTGAGATTTTGTTTCAATTTTTAAACAATAATGAAGTATCAGTAGTTATTTCTGCAGAAATTCAATAACACATAGTGAGCAACTAATGATACCTCCTAAATTTAGGCTTGAAAAACTTGATTAGAAATTACTTCTATGAAAAATTGATATTATCGTTTTATAACAGTCCTTGAGTAATGTACTAATGTTATAGATCTGATTCATTAAGTTAAGCTGACTCAAAAATGGTTTTAATCGATGATATTGAATCAAAATACACATTTTTAAAAGGAATGTATAACTTTTTAAGATAAAATTATAACCTAATCATCAAGTACACTCTAGTTATATATGAAAATCTATCTTAGCTTTAAGTTTAAATTCCAAAAAAAATTCAAAAAATGAAAAATAAAATTAAAAAATACAATTTTTATAACAAAATTTCGAAATTAAGATTTTTTTGGAAAATTAAATGTGTTTTATAATTGATCTTGATGCAATATATTTCCTTTTGTTCCCGAAAAAAGCCGATATTTCTTGATTGCAAAATTTAATTTTAAAAAACGAACAATTTTTGATCTAAAGAAGAACTATTTCTGGTCAAAATTCAAAATCAGATAGATTTACCGAAAGAAATAAACATAAAATTTTTATAATTATAAAATACAATTATTTCGAAGATGCTACTTGAGTTACATGTAACTCAAAAGTAATCTTCTTTGTGTAGGGGTAAAACAAGTTACAAGTAATAGAAATCCATAATTTTTATTGCTGGTTGTGCTTTTGCACTAATATTTATTTGATAACTGTATGTCGTTCATTATGATAACGGCTAATTTACAAGTTAACTAATTGGTAGTGTATGTTTTTGATGAAATGCAATTCGTTTCTAAAAATTGGCAAGACGGATTTTTCTCATTTTCTACGTACTTATTATATATTTGTACCTGATTTATTTCCATGATTTTCAAAGAGAAAGCGCGGTCTCAAAAAAATTTCATAAATTTAATTTTTTATGGTAGAGATTTTCCGATAGTATTATAAGTGTTTTCGAATTTTAGTAATCTTGGCTGTTCAAATGATGAGAAATTTGATAGGTTGCAAAAAATCAAAATATGTTCTTTTTTGTAAACTTTAATTCATGCAACAAACATTGCATTCTCTTAAGGGTATACTAATGCTTTGTTTGCTCTAAAATCTTGGTTAAATTCAAAGGGTATTACGAGTTGTGAAGCCAACAAATGCCCTTTGATTTTTTAGAATTTAAGGTTAAAAAGTGTCCGTACCTTTTAATTTTGAACAATTTCAATCATCAAGCCATATTATAATTTAGACTTTCGCCAAGATATCATCGAAATGATTAACGAAAGACACCTTTATAAGAGGTTATAAAATTTTGGAAAAATAATACATGTTTATAAAACAAAAATAAATGAATCAATCTAAATATGATCATACATTTTAGTTTCTATGACAAAAATACATTTATATTGACAATTTAGCTCTATAAATAATAAATTGTGTTATTACAAATAACATATAATGAAGTAAAGTGTGAATTGATTCAGTACTTTTACTTCAATGGCATTTTGTGCTTCTTAAATTCTATCAAGTACTTTGAATAAAGTTTGTCTAATGCTTGACTTTGTATTTCTGAATCTTCGTGTTTAACTACTGATTTTCGATATTCTGCCATTTGTGGCTTGCAATAATCATTTAAAACGTTGATTGAATGAATATATGATTTATTTGCTAAAATGAGGGCATCTATTGCTTTCCCGTCAGTAGGATTGGCATTGACTCTTGCAGATTCATTAGGTGTGAGATATTTAGCACCTGTCAAGCACCATTCAAGATCAAATTCGAACTCCATAAGTGTTGAAAAAGTGACATTCCTATTTTGCTCTGTATATTGAGTAAAACAAAAAGAAAGATGAAATTTTATATCACAACTAGAAAAATATAAATATATCTCTTCCACATGGTACAGCATTGTCTGAAAATTCTTTAAATATGATGTGGTGGTTAATCAACCAAAAAATATCGGAAGGTCCATCAAAATTGAAAGTTTTTCTAAAACTTCTGATGCATGCAGCTCCTTGTTTCGTAGATATAAGAGAAATCCCAAGATTGATGATGAATATATGTTTTTTTCACTCGTTAGAGGGTAAAAAAAAAACTTAGATCGTTTAAAATCTAGATATTAGATTCTGTGCTATACAAGGATCATTCTAGTCTGAATTGGTTTATGTATGCCTTCTTCTGAATCGATTATAAAATTTGAGATCCTTAAGATTGCTGTGATGCTCATGTGGCCATTTGGGTCATCATCCATCTCGAATTTAAGAGAACTTTCATTAAGATTTCAATTTGCTGTTATAAATGATATTTTCATTATCATTATCTTGGCTTTCGCCTTTTTTTAATTGAACAGAATTATATAGTGCAAATTGTATTTGAGGGTATCATATTTGGAGTATTCTCAATATTATTCTTTCCGAATGCCTTGAATATCGAAAAATCAATGGTGACCGTTTAATTTTTAAAGTTTTTACACTTCTATAGAATGCAAACGGTCACCGGCGGAAGAAATCCGGAAACCGAGATGCTTAAAATGAAGCTTCAAACTAGAGATGAAGAAATACAAAAATTACATAGCTTATTTGAAGAGCTTTCCACACAATTTTCATTACAAGCAAATGAGTTACATCAGGAGACAGAAGCACGCGAAAATCTCGTTATTGCTATTCATAAACTCAATCAAATGAATCAATATCTCTCAGATCAATTCAAAGTTATTTCAGCCAATTATTCAAATGCCAAAAACGAAAATATTCAACTTAAAGGACAGATAGACAATTTAAAGCCTACAGTCCAACTTGTTGAGGATATGAAAAACCTCGAGTCAGCAATTTTAGATATACTACCCGTAGAAACTCAGAAAATAATAAAACCTATTATTGAAAATTCAGAAAAGACGTACCCATTTCGAGTCATTGAAACAATTTCTGCTTTATCTGAGTATTACAATAATTGTCAAAATTCTCCTTCAGAGGCCCAAACAAGCAGTTCACCAAGCAATATTTACAACCAACAAAAAATGCTTGAAATTATCTCAGCTAATCTTCGATTCATCAATAGTCTTATTGATTCAAAAGAAAAAGCACAATGGTTAATCAAGCCATTCAACTTTGATGACTACAGAAAGGTTCTTATGGAACAATCTTCAAGAATCACATCATATATGAAGGAAAACAACATTACTCCAGTTGATGAAAAAACATTATTTGATTCTTTACTACTTGACATCGATCCAATTCAATCACAAAGCGATATTTCGCAATACTTAGAACAACTTTCTCCAGAGAATATGTCAGAAGGTGAATTAACTCTTTTCCATTTACTTGCTCAAGCAATTTCTGCAAATTTCGCTCTAAGAAAGTACAGTAATGAATGCAGAAACCAATGCGCACATCAGGTATCCGAGATAAAGCAATTAAGGTTCGATCTTGCAAACAATCGCGATCAAAATAGATATCAAAATGATGATGAAGTGATTGAACTCGAAAATAAGCTTGATGCTGAACGCGAAGAGAACCAGAAACTATTACTCAAGATCAAATCCCTTAAGAATATGCTTATTAAGGCACAAGCTAAAAATAATCTTGATAATTTTGAAGAAATGATCCAAACAATTGATGGTTGTGAGGAATGTTCAGATCACAGTAAGTCTGTAATAGATGCATTAGAAGGAAAAGCCTTAGAACTTGATCAAGCCAGGGAATTATGCAATACTCTAGAAAAAGAGAAGCAATCAATACAAAATGAGTTAAATTCTCTTAAACAAGATAAGTCAAAGTCAGAACCCGACTATCTTACTAGAATCAACGAACTTAAAATAAGTATTTCAGAATTAACAACTGAAGCTACACAAACAACACAAAAAATGAAGGAAGCACTGGCTAAAAAAGAAGATGAGAATGCAGAACTTCAACAAAAACTCTTAGAACTTGAAGAAAATGATGAAAAAATCAGATCTAACGTTAATGCACTGGATAATGAGATAAAGAAACTCAGAAAAGAAAAGAAATCCATTGAAGAAAGCTATTCTGACTACAAAGAAGCGGCAGCAGCAACTTTGACAAAGATTATTGAGAAATCAAAAGTCAGAATTGCTAAAATGAAGCAAGAAAAAGAGAAATTCGCTGGAGAAGTCAAGAATCTTGAAGAAAAATTAGTCGATCTTCATGATTACAGCGAAAAAGCCATTTCTCAGAAATCTCAAAAGATTGAAGAACTTAACTCGATGATTTCAAACTTGCAATCGGAAGTAACCCAATCAAAATCTTCAATTTCTTCACTCAAAGTTGAAAACAAGCTTTTGTCCACAAAATTAAATGGAACTGAAGAAAGATTGAAGAGAGAAATCTCCATTGCTGAGAGCCAGTACAAAGTTAAGGTAATGTCGATCGAAACAGAGTACCAATCCCAGCTCGATAAACAGAAATCACAGCTTGAAAAGCAAATCCAAGATTTTATCGATTTCATATGCGAAAAATTCAATGAAAACATCACAGAAAACATGACAATTGAGTCAGCAGAAGAATTATTGGCCACTGTTGATGTTAAACTCAGAAACACAATTAACATACAGCATGAATTAGATGATGCAAATCGTCAATTACTTACAATAAGAAAATTATTTAATGCTGCTAAAAGTGATACAATTATTGGTGTTGTTCAGAGCCAAATTGAGAAATATGAAAGTCTTAAACGTGCACATGATGATGTTGTAGCTAAGAACAAAGCAATGAAGAGAGATGTTATCGAAGCAAGAGCTCTAGGAGACACAAATAGACAGAATAAAGAATGGGAAGAATGGGCAAGAAAATTGGCTTCAATTGTTACAGGAGGATGCTCTGGATATCAATCTCCAAAGAGCCTCAGATTTGGTGTTGAAGAAGCTGTGCTTGCTGCTATTGGAAATAAGAATGCTTGGATGAGATTAGATATATTAAGAGCTGAAAAGAAGATTCTAAAATCTGGACATAATTTGGAAAAGAAATCTTCACAGAATTTCACTTCAACTCTTGCTGTTGTAAGAGCTGTAACAAGATTACAGAAATTGTCTGGACATGCACAGTCTTATCTTGCAGTAGATCTACCTCAATGTGCATCAAAATCACAGTCAAATACAAAGGAATCTGAAAAGAAACCTCTTTTCAATTCAATTTGATTTTGTCTATTTTCTTATTATTTTTGTTGTTGTTCTTGTAATTGTAAACATTTTAGATATTTCATTTTCTTTGATGTCGTTTTAACAAAGCTGAAATATATTTGTCTTGCGAAACTTCTTACTGACTTGATAGATAACACAATGAGGGAAAAATAAGCAAAATTTAGAGTTAAGTGATTTGAATTGTGCTAATATAGGAACTAATGCTTTGAATAGAATAATTTAAATAGTTCAAGTGAAATTTATTTAAAATTTACTCAATCAATTATAAATCATTATATTGGAATAATCACTAAAAATATATCTTCAAATGAATATATGAAGTAAAGTTATGATATATATTATGAAAATTGCTTAGATATACATTTTCCCTCATTGTTTCAATGTTTACATTCCATAATTGTTCATACCATAACGAACATCAAAATAAAAAAAAGTTTTTATAAAAGCTTTCACTTTATTTTCAAGCAATATTATAAATATTATGTATTGAATGTGGCATTTTTATTTAAAAATTATCTGATTAGATTATTTGGCTCCAATAGATTTTAAATAGTCTCTTACTTTACCTTTTGCATGTGAGAGTGCAGTTTTTCCTTTATAATCCTTCGCATCTTTATTAGCTCCAACAGATATAAGATATTTAACAACTTCAAAATGATTTTTCCATGATGCACAAATAAGTGGAGTCCATCCGTTTTTATTCTTTGCTTCTTTATCAGCTCCAAAAGAGATAAGATATTTAACAACTTCAAGATGACCATTCCATGATGCATAACTGAGTGGAGTATATCCATCATCATTCATTGCTTCTTTATTAACTCCAATAGATATAAGATATTTAACAATTTCAAGATGATCTTCTTCTGATGCTGCAAAGAGAGGGGTTTCTCCATTAATACCCCTTGCTTCTTTATTAGCTCCAATATAGATAAGATATTTAACCACTTCAAGATGACCATTCCATGATGCCCAAACGAGTGGAGATATACGTTTATTAGGATTTCCTTCTTTATTAGCTCCAACAGAGATAAGATATTTAACAATTTCGAGATGACCTTCCCGAGATGCACGAATGAGTGGAGTGAAATCAAAGCCATCATTTACTTCTTTATCACAGCCACATTCGATAAGTAATTTGACAAGCTTAAAATTTCCTTTTCCACATGCAATATGAAGTACATTCTGTCTCCACCCTGCTGTCTTCTCCCAAAGTTCTTCTTCACAAGCTCTTGACATCATTTCTCGATTGCCTTCAGAAGAAAGTTCTTCAAAGAATTTGTAAACTCTATCAAAATCATTAGATTTCTTAAGTTCTGCGATTTTAGTTAAAATTTGAAAAGATTGAATTTGTTCTCGAAGCTTTTTATTTTCTTCTGCATGATCGCGCGTTTCCTTATCATTTTGTAATAAAAAATCAATGACACCATCAAATATTTTGAATTTCATGTATGTTTTAACTGATTTCAGAACTGATACAACATCATTGATGCTTTGGACAGTAACATTCGCATTTCGTGTACAGACATATAATTTGCTGGCATTAATAGTTGATGATGACTGTTTAAGAAGAGAATTGAACTGTTTTGGTGTTAATTTTGAATATTTCATTATTGTTATAATGTCTTCTAGATCGAATGTCTAAAAGAAATTTTCATTTTGAATATAATCATTGATGTGTGCAGCAATATATTCGAAATTCAGAGTAAGACCTCGACTCATTTTTCAAATGTCGTGACTTTACAAAATATCTGAAAAAACAAAAATCAAAATGCACTTGTTTGCATTGTTATCCATTCTGAAAGAACAAACCAAATAATATAGTTATTGAATGAGATCATATTTCTTCATCTCATTTACTGAGTTTGTTTGAATAAATGACATCAAATGTTATTACTTTGAATAGAATAAAAATTTCATTCATAATGCAGAATAAATTGAGTCGAATAGTTCAAAAGAAATTTAATAATAATATTGCAATTTATCATTTAATTAAATAATGAGAAAAAGTCATTAGTTAGGAATAATGACACGAAAAAGAATTTATAAATGTATATTTGAAGTATAGTTATGATATCCGTAATGAATATGGCATTGATATACACTTTATTACCATTTTTTGAGTGTTTACTTTCCATAATTGTTCATATCATAACGATCACACCACTAAAACAAAAAAATTTAAAGAAACGCTATAGTTCTGTTACCATGAATTATTGCATTACTATTTAACAGTTGCTACTAATTATTAATTGAAGTCAAGTGGTAATAATTTCCAGTCTATATTAAAAAAGAATTATACTTTTGAAATCTGATGTTTTTATAAAACATTTTAAAATTTTTCGGTGTTGAATGTAGCATTTTGCTTTAAATTATCTGATTAAATTACTTGGCTCCAATAGATTTTAGATAATCTCTTACTTTACCTTTTGCATGCGATAGTGCAGTTTTTCCTTCATTATCTTTTGCAGCTTTATTAACTCCAACAGAGATAAGATATTTTACAACTTCAAGATGATTATTCCATGATGCATAAATGAGTGGTGTATTTCCTTCATTATTCTTTGTTTCTTTATTTGCTCCATCAGAGATAAGATATTTAACAACATCAAGATAGCCGTATAATGATGCATAAATTATGGGAGTTTTTCCATCATTATTCTTTACATCTTTATTAGCACCATCAGAGACAAGATATTTAACAATATTGAGATAATCGTATAATGATGCATAAATTAAAGGAGTTTTCCCATCGTTATTCTTTGCTTCTTTATTAGCTCCTGCAGAGATAAGATATTTAACAACTTCAAGTTGATTATTCCATGATGCATAAATGAGAGGAGTATTTCCATATTCATCTATTGTTTCTTTGTTACAGCCACATTCGATAAGTAATTTGACAAGCTGAAGATTTCCCTTTTCACATGCAACATGAAGTACATTCTTTCTATTCTCTGTTGTCTTTTTCCAAAGTCCTTCTTCACAAGCTTTTGACATCATTTCTTGATTGTCTTCTGCAGAAATTTTTCCGAAGAGTTTGTAAACACTATCAAAATCATTAGATATCTTAAGTTCTGTGATTTTAGTTAAAAATTTTCGATTCTTTTGAAATTTCAAATCTGAATTTGTTCTTGAAGCTTTTGAATTTGTTCTCGAAGCTTTTTATTTTCTTCTGCACTTTCGCATCTTTCCTTATCATTTTGTAATAAAAAATCAATGACACCATCAAAATATTTTGAATTTCATGTATGTTTTAACTGATTTCAGAACTGATACAACATCATTGATGCTTTGGACAGTAACATTCGCATTTCGTGTACAGACATATAATTTGCTGGCATTAATAGTTGATGATGACTGTTTAAGAAGAGAATTGAACTGTTTTGGTGTTAATTTTGAATATTTCATTATTGTTATAATGTCTTCTAGATCGAATGTCTAAAAGAAATTTTCATTTTGAATATAATCATTGATGTGTGCAGCAATATATTCGAAATTCAGAGTAAGACCTCGACTCATTTTTCAAATGTCGTGACTTTACAAAATATCTGAAAAAACAAAAATCAAAATGCACTTGTTTGCATTGTTATCCATTCTGAAAGAACAAACCAAATAATATAGTTATTGAATGAGATCATATTTCTTCATCTCATTTACTGAGTTTGTTTGAATAAATGACATCAAATGTTATTACTTTGAATAGAATAAAAATTTCATTCATAATGCAGAATAAATTGAGTCGAATAGTTCAAAAGAAATTTAATAATAATATTGCAATTTATCATTTAATTAAATAATGAGAAAAAGTCATTAGTTAGGAATAATGACACGAAAAAGAATTTATAAATGTATATTTAGGTCAGGTATGAGGGGCTTCCAGGGGCTGCGCCCCTTCTAGCCCTAAGAAATGGACACAAGACCCAAGAGGAGGACCGAACCCCAGCCGACCAGCCGGTGACAACACTTTGACCGAGTAGTTTTTTGAGCTGAACAAATAGTGTCATATAAACATCTGTCAAAAACCGCTTTTTAACTTCACTTAAAATGCCACATAAGCTACGTAAGAATATACGTAAGAGGAAGAGAGCATTGAAACATCCAATAGTAAAACTGACACCACAACAACAGTTGCAACAACAAATGCTGAATGACCCCACTATGTTGCAACAAATGTCAAGCAATCCTATGCTTTTAAACCGAGTTATTGGTGCACAGAGTGGAAGTTTAAGAGCGGCACTTTTAGCGAAAATGGCAGGCTATGGTGGAGCTGCAGACGGAACAGCTTATAACCCTCAAAGTCAAATGAATTTGAGTTCACTCAAAAATCAAATATCAGATGTCAAAAAGTCAAACATAGACATACAGAAGCAAATAAGTGAAAACGAAAAGAAACTAGAATATGACAGACACACAAAGAAACTCAATGAGTTAAACGTAGAGAAAAAGAAGAAAGAAGAACAACTGAAAGAACTAAGTACAGAGGAATATGCGAAAAAAGTGTCAGAAAAAGCAGCAGAAGTAGCAAAAATGGAACAAGATGTTATAAATTTGAAAAACCATACTACTCAATATAAAGTACTGAAAGATGAAGAGATAAAACAAAAAGCCCTGAAGACATATATGGATAGCGATGAGTATAAAAAAGAAGTTGAAGCAAATGTAAAGGCAGAAAAACTTTTACAGTTGCAAAACCAAACCGTACAGTATGAAAACTTAGCACAAGAAAGTAAAAATAACGACGCAGCCATGCAAAAGGCAATGAAAAGCGCAGAATATATAAAAGCTAACAATGACTGGTTAGATACCCAAGCCAACGCTAAAGCAGCCCAACTTATAGGGTCAATAAGGACAAAAATACAAGCGGATGAAGACAGTTCAAATGAAGCTTTAACAAATGCTGACTTTAAGAACGCCTTCGAAGCTCTTCATAGTAAGGTGAAACTAGTGAACGACTTCTCATCTGGAAAGAAACTGAAGTCTGAAGGTTTCGACAAAGAGTTAAGAGAAGTAGCACAAAATATGACGAAAATAACAGATGCAGCAACGAGACAGGCAGTTCAAAGTGCCTATGACGCCGTTAGAGCAACTGTTGTGGAAAGTCAAGAAAAAGAGTTACAACAGACCAAAACAGACCTAGTAAATGCTTTCTTAAAAACGAAAAGTCAGGTAGGACATTATGCTGCAGATGGAACATATGTGCCAGCTGGTGGAACTTATATACCAGCTGGTGGAACTTATATACTAGCTAGTGGAACCTATATACTAGCTAGTGGAACCTATATACCACCAAACCCTCCAAGAGAAGCACCTGCACCAGGACTACCTAAAACATTTACATCGTCACATGGACACAGACACAGGCATGCACCAAAACCAACACAACAACCAACAGTTCAAAATCCAGCACAACAACAACCAAAACCAACAGTTCAAAATCCAACACAACAACCACCTCCACAACAACAACCACAACCAGCACAGCAACCAACAGTTCAAAACCCTGCACAACAACCACCTCCACAACAACAACCACAACCAGCACAGCAACCAACAGTTCAAAACCCTGCACAACAACCACCTCCACAACAACAACCACAAACAGAGCAAGGACATAAAAGAAGTAGAGAACAAGGAAACCAAGATTTCTTAAAAATGCTTAAAGAAGACTATGGTTACCCAGATACTCTTGACTTTAGTGACAGATATAAAGAAGCTATTAGAAAGTTCAAGGAAGGAAATACTGACCCGAACCTATTTAGCTTTATGGCTCAGCACCAAATGGGATATAATTTCAAACCTGGAAAATACAAGCTCGCTAAGGGATATGATTTAATAGCATATCATCCAAATGACATGACTGAATTTACTCCGAGATATTTGGTGTCAGAGCTAAATGACAATTCAACTCTCTTCATGAAACGCGTAAAAAATAGAGACGGAACGAAAGAAGAAAGGTTTATGAGTCCGGATGACTTAGATAGGGAACTTGTTAAAAACGGTCTCGGAATATATGAAATGCCAGCAGATGAGGTACAAGAAACTCCACAGGAAGAAGTTCAGATACAACCAGACATGGAAGAAATAGTTCAGCAACAACAGCTAGAAGAGCCTGAAGGAAACGAACAAGTCCCTCCTTTGGAAACTAACTTCACAGAACTAGATGAAGATTTGGAACAGCCGAAAAATCTTGACCCTCAACAAGAGTATGAGGTGAATATGGAATCTTTCCAAGAGTCTAAGAAAAATTCGGCTGACATAGTAGAAGAATATCGAAAAATGTTTGCCGACATACAAAAGACTCCAACATCAGATGAAAATATTCAGCATAGAATGGAAGTACTGAAAGAAAATGTACACAAATACAACAACCCTTTTTACTTACGACCATATAACGTTCAATCTTTGGCTGAACTCGGTGAAAATAAAAGGTTAAATTTCGACAAAACATATAGAAATGAAACATTGTTTAAAGTTCATTCAGAACCTAACCAATATGGAAACAAACCTACTTTTGTTTCTGCAGACTATGGAACTACAATGAGATGGGGTCATAAAGCTAACCCGGATAGGTGGTTCATAAACTTACAACCACAATTCCAAGAAGTTGTAGACGCAATGGAAGTCAATGGTGAACCAGATATAGCTGGTATTTTCAGCGCGGCTTTAATGCCATTGAAAGATATGAAAGATGCAGATATTTTGGACCAGTATGAAATGAACATGGCTGATGGAAATATAACACCTGACGTTCTAGAACATTTATCTCAAAGAACTACACAGAACCATAAAGATGGTATATTTGGTGAAGAGTTTAGAAAGAGAGTTAGGGAGAGAGAAGGAAGAGAACCTATTGTACATGACCTTGCAAACGAAAGTTTACAAAATGTCATAAAAACTTACTTTGCAGACAATGAAATGAGAAGGGATGAATATTTAAGAAAACTCAAATGGACAGTACCAAATGAAATGTTAGTATTGAAAAACATGTTCCTTGACAAAATAAAACCAACTACAGAAATAAATGACGCAAGACTGAAACGTTGGGTAAAAGCTTTCCCATTCACAAAAGATATTGTTGGTAACATGGAAAGAAAACCAGAATGGCTACAAGAACATATATTTGGAAACAAGCTTATTCCATATGGACAAGCTATATTTGAAGAGCTTGAACCGGAAACTCAGGAAAGAGTCATGCAAACAATACGCGAAGACTCAAATACAAACTATGACGAAATCTTTCTAGGATATAGGATACCTGAGATGGGCGACCAGAGCCTAAAGGCAAAAAGGACACGTGAAATTTGCAACATACTAGATGAACATGATGCAAAGATGCAACAACTTGAAGCAGAGGGCATGTTACCAAAAGCGACACCAAAGAAGAAGAGAAGAGTAGAACAAAGTGAAAGTAGTGAAGAAGTAACTTCATCTAGTGAAAGTAGTGGCAATGAAGGAAAAAGAAGAGTTAAAAACTCAGCCAGGAAGAAAGTAAAGCTTGGTCCACGTGGGTTCTATTATGACACATAAATTCAACTATTCTATATTTTTACCCATATGAAATGTACGCCGCTCAGAATATAACGCCAACAGTTTTGGATGCCATGAATGGAAATGTTTCCGAATGGTATAACGAATGCGACAATGCCATTAGAAGGTCAGAAATAGTTCCTGGAACTTACGAATATACAACTGCTGTTTCTTATGGAAACGTAGGTGAGTTTGGAGAAGGTTCTTCAACAACAGTAGATATTGCTTGCGACAGGTTTCATATAATTTCTATTGACAACTCATTCTTATACGTGGAACAAGACATTGAAATAAACCTTCTGCCAAGCTGTCTGACAAGAAAGGTTGCAATGGAATTTTCTATGTCGGATACCAATATGCTCCAGAAGTTTTCATGGGATATAAGATATATTCTAACTCTGACTTAGTTCAAACAGTAACATGGGCAAACTATGAATGGTTCGCTTTGAGAAACTCAGTACAACCACAAGCTAGAGAACAAACAGACCAGTATGCCACCATTGAGAAAATAAGAAGACTTGACCCTAACGTTCCAGGAGTTTATGTTGACCTTTCTGGACAAACTGCAGCAGCAGTAACCAAAGTAAAACTGAAACTTAGAGTTCCTTTGTCATCTTTCCTCATCTTCAGGTTTTTAAGATACTTGCCAAACTGGGCAGGAAAAATTTCTATCGAACTTACTCCAAGCAAAAATAACTTAGTCATTGCACCAACACAAGACCCATTCACTCTTACTGTAGCTGGAACTGGTGGAGCCAAGTTCTGTGACTTTTGCAAAGACAAAGTTGACTTAGACTTTGGTTTCTCAAACTTCAACACTGAAGTAAACTATTATTTCAATGCTGCTGGAACTGCTTGGGACCCAGTTAAGTTTACATGCGAAAAATTTGAATGCAAGAGAATAGAAAGCAGACTTGCAGTCTATATGTTGGACCCAGATATTTCAAATGCTTTAGCTGCCAAATATATTGCAGTTCCACTTATGTTCCCTATACACCAAATATCTGTCAAAGACTTTGCAGGTGAAGTTGGAAACCAAAGTGCTGACCCAGGTGCAAGAACAGATATTGCTTTAACAACTGCAATGAAACATGCAGATACTATGTTTGTACTGTTCAGACGAACTATAAATGACTATTCTTGTTTCTACAACCCTGGTATTAAATATCATATAAACATAGATGGCAAATATTATCCAAGAGAAGAATATTCTACAGTTGAGGATATGAGGTCATACAACTTGACATTAGATGCTATGAACTTTAACAACAACTTCACAACAACCATTAACCCTGAAATGCAAAGTTCTATTATGCCATATGTGAAAGTATGGACTCATACAGGAGGTCAAAAAACTCAATATACAAATGGAGACCGTTCAAACTTTTGGCTTGGCATTCCATTTGCTGACTCAGAAGACTTTATGGGTGGTATTTCAACTGTTGGTACTGTACAAATACAATATACTGGTGACAGAGACGGTCCAGATGAATTGAAAGCAAAGAAGTTTACAAAACCAATAGCACTTTTCACGGAAGATGCTCTTTTGAAGATTCGTTCGATGAAACCTGCTGGGGCTCCTCAGATTGGCATAACGACAGCTTCCATCGAGCAGATTTTGGCAGCAGGTCAGTAAGTTGTTCTTGAACTGACTTCTCTCCATCGTAAATAGTTATGACACCTGTTTTGACATAAAATTGTATTATAAACTTACCTTTAGAAATATCTGTAAGTTTTGTTGTTATATTTTTGTCTGCTTCAAGAACTTTCACCATTTCAGTTATACCAACTTTCTTTGCTTTATGAAAATGTTTTGGTTCAGCAAAGACTGCTATTCTATAACATTTTCCATTGTTTGTGTAAAGAACTATTCTGTCAATGTATTTGTATTGTTTGTGTGTGTAAACTTTGTTCTGCTTCAATTCGAAGAGATATCCGAATACGTCCATATTTTTATTCGAAGTAAAATGTCATTTCCGAAAAATAGAAGCGTAAGTGTTTCAAAAGGTTTAATGGCGATGGCAGATGTGAAGTTAAATTCACCAACTCAAACAAACAGTCAAAGTGTTGTTGTCAATGTCAAAGAAAGAGATGTTGAAGTGGGGAAACCATACGAGGACGAAGATGGTATAACAATTGTTCCTGTAAAAGAACAACCAACATATCCTGAAGTTAGCAGAGACTTAAGTTCTGTTGCAGATATTCGAAACGACTACCAACAACTGAAAAACAAACTTCAAACTCAGGAGAAGATTTGTCAAGCTTTAGGTATAATGTTAAACTTGGTCGAACACAAACCCTGTAAAAGTGAACTCATATGTCATTGCACCTCATGAAGTTTTGAAAGAACTATTGAAACTTTTGACAGAGGCAGACGATATAAACATCAAAGAAATAGAACCCGACGTTAGTTGCTGTGGTGTTTCATATAATGTCATTGACAAGATATACGTTATGAAAGGAGGTGAAACGTTGAACTTAAAATATAGTTTCCCAGACGTTATAAAAATATTTGACGACCACAACATTTCATTAAAGTTTATTTGCTAAGTAAATGGCAGAAGACATAGTGGTTTATACTATTACGACTAAAAACCCTGAGTCATATAATTCTATAACAACAAACTTACAAAGTCCTCAAGGACGATATTGTAAACTAACTTTAAACACAATGACGACTAAAGCTTGTTTTGCTCTTTTGACACCAGAAGATTTTATTGTTGTGAATGGTAAAAAATACTCCTTTGAAGATACTTACTCAGATATACCACCAACAGGTTTTGTTGACTTATTTAATACTTTAAGGACGAGTGTAACATGTGCTGCAACTAGAGCAGGTTTCATTATGTTTGGATGTCCGACTGAGTTTACTATAAACAATATGAGCTATAATACAAAACTTATATCTGGTTTTTACTACCAACAGTTTCCTATAACAGGAAAAGGTGTCATACAAGGAATGTCTGTTCCATTGACTTTAAGTACACCTATTTTATATATTGTTTCAAACTTAGGTTCAAAGTGTTATTCGAATGTCGACAGAAACTACTATGACCAAAAGATACTTATGCGTATAAACAACACTTTCTCTGCTGGTTTGCCTATTGTTCATTCGAATGCAGAATTTTCAACCTTAGTGAACTCAAACACTTTGGCAAGTATAACGTTGACATTAGTTGACGCAAACTTTGTTCCTGTAAAACTTTTATGTCCTATGTATTTGTCAATGACGGCAGAAAGTTTCGAATTGGAAGATGCAACTGGTGAAAGTATTGTATTACAAGAACAACTTCAACAACAAATAGCTCAAGAACAACAAATAGCTCAAGAATAAAAAAATATTTTTTTTATTTTTATAAAAATGTACAGAATAGATGTTTCAGATTTTTATGACTTCCAAGCGTTCAGAAATATGTGTCCATTTCGAGACTATAACAAAGCAGTCGAGAATTTGAAACGTTTAGTCATTTATGTCGACTCTGCCCCAGAATGTTATGTTATGAAAGAATGGGATGTTGTCTTTAACAAACCAAGAGCAACAATAGTTTCAGAACAAGAATGTAAACAGAAACTTAAGAAAATAAAGTTGTACAAGTTGGCATGAAGATGTTAGATGCTTGGGATATCTTATTGTCAAAGTTAGAAGATTTTTCAGTTCGTGGTATAAAGTTCTATACACCTTCTCCAAACTTCTATTCTATCTTCACTGGATATAAATACGAACAAGTAGAATGGAAAGAAAATATTATAGAAGCTTGGTTAGACCATGTCAAAGAAATTATATGCAATGGAAACGAAAGAGTCTATGAGTATATCTTATGTTGGTTTGCAAACATCTTACAACATCCAAGTGCTAAAAATGAAACTGCTCTCATTATAATTGGAAAACAAGGAACAGGTAAGAACACATTCTTTACAGATATTTTGTGCAAACTGTTAGAAGGTTATTCGAATCCGAATATGACAAACTTAGAAAACATCTGTGGCAAGTTTAACTCCTCAATAGAGAATATGAAACTTATAGTATGTAACGAACTTCAAAGTATAGATACAACAAAAGTTTTGAACTCAGATGCTTTGAAGAGTCTTATAACAGACAAAGTTGGAGTTGTTGAAAGAAAATATAAAGACCAAAGAGTTTGTGAAAATGTTGTAAATTTCATTATGGTTTCAAACAATGCTGTTCCGATGAAGTTAGAAAGTTCTGACAGAAGATATGTAGTTGTCAGAACGTCAGATTCTCATATGCAAGATACAGAATATTTTGACGACTTAGCAGAAACTTTGACATCTGACTTTTACAACCACTTGTTCTCATATTTTATGACATTAGATATTTCAAAGTTCAATCCAAGACAAATTCCACATACCGAAGAGAGACAAACATTGTTAGAAGCAAACAAGAGTGTATATGAACTGTTCATAGATGAAACTGACTTTGAGTGTTTAGATGAAAGGTCATTGTACGACTCGTATAAACAATATTGTCAAGAGTATGGTTATATGACAGCGTCTAAAACGAACATTCTTGGCAAATGTCAAAAGTCTTTTAGATGTTCAAATGGTGTATATACAAAGAAAAATTTTTTGAGTAAATTTTAAAAAAAAATATTTTTTTTTATCCGATAGAAAAGATGACAAAAATTCATCTCAGTAAACAAGTACATGTCAGGACTTAAAGAACTAGACCCATTCACATATTTGAATGTTACTTCTACCATTTTGAAAAGTCTTCATTCAGCAAAGTTTGGGAACCAGTTAAGTTTGCTATTGTGACTAAAAAATGGTGCGAAATTTGAAGACTTAGACATAGAAGGTTTGTTAACAGTCAAAGAAAGTTTTGACAGAAGGTTTTCAAACCTTAAAGAAGGCAAAGCATACAAACTTGTTATACCTTATGAACCAAAGAAAGCAGACGACTATGAATATTATGAGTCTAAAGTTGTAGAAGTTCAAGGTAAATTGGGTAAAAAGATTTTAGAGTCTAAGCCAGTGTTTACTCCTAAAGAGGAAGAGAACATTGACATTGACCCAGAAATGTTCTAAAAATAAAATTTTATTTTTACATGTCAAATTTCTTTTCTCTGGAACTGGTTCAGGTTCTTTCTTCTCTTCTTCTACTTTCTTTTCTTTCTTTTCTCTCTTCTTCTTTTCTAGTGGAGTTATGTCAAATTTCTCCGAACCATATTTATGTAAAAGTTCTTTGTCCTTTAATAGCTCATCTATTCTGTTTTCTATTTCATCTTCAAGAACAGCGCATGTGTCTTCTTTGCATTCTAAGAACTTTTGTTGGACTTCATCTTTCCAATCGGTGTCATCTCTGTCAACAAGTCTGTCATTGACAAATTTTAAGACTGCTCTTTGTAATGTTTTATGGTTCTTGTCATATTCCCAGAAACAGAACTTTAGAACAAATTCACCTTTCTTGTTTACACTATGTAAGATTTTATGGTCGACAGATGTTTTGCTGTCGAAAAGTTTGTCTCGAATATAGATAGCGAAATCGCCAGACATTTTCTAAAAGATAAAAATTTTAATTTTTCTAAAAATATGTTAGAAAAAAAGTTTGCTGACATTGACAAGAAATTTGAGAATGTTTTAAACAAGAACAAGAGGAAGTTAGAAAATGCTCAGATAAAGCCTATACATGACAAGTTCTTATTTGCTCAGAATGGTATAACAGGTCTAATTGCACCACCTGGGTCTGGTAAGACTTTCACTTATCTTAAAATGGCTGCACAACAACAAGAACTAGATGAGAAGAACCCATTCTATGAGTTAGTTGTCATTTGTAGTACTTCTGGTCAATTTGACCAAACCGTCAATTCGTTCAAAGATATTATAAAGAAGTCTAAGTTAGTATGTATAAAAGACTCTGAGTTGTTAGATTGGATAAAGAAGTACCAAAGAAGAGTTTTGAAGTACAATGCTATAAATGAGTATATAAATTCGAAGTTTAAAGACCCAAATGAGGAAATGCAGAGAATATTAGAGAAGAAACACTTCAGAAACAAACAGAAAGAGATAGAATACATTTCGAAGAAATTGCAATCTTACGATTGGAAGACTTACCCTCATAGATGTCTTCTTATCTTAGATGATTTCGCCTCTCATCCTTTGTTAAAGAACAGAGAACAAGACATGTGTCGAATTCTCAAGAAGCTCAGACACTTTAACATTTCAGTTGTCATTTGTGTACAGACAGCAAAGAGTTTAAGTAAGGATGTAAAGAGAATACTTACTGACATTGTACTTTTCCCCGGATTGTCCGAAGACGATTTCATGGAACTTATGAAAGAGTCCATGGCAGGTAAGTTTGACAGACATGAACTATGGGAGAAGTACAAAGTCATACAAGACCCTCATACTTCTTTCAGAATTCACATCTACGCAAACAAAGTTCAAATTGTAAAAAGTCAAGCGTAAAAAATAAATGGTTCATCTACTCTACTTGTTTGAAGTTGTCAAAATACTCTGTTATTTTTTCTTTCAGTAGCGGCAAGTCTTCTTTGAATGTAAGTATTGTACAACCTTTAATATCATAGTGTGTTTGAGGTAACGTATCTTGAACTATTTGTTTCACATCTTCATTTGGTGTCATTGAAATCGGTAAGTTTTCGCGATAGAACCAATTTCTGTCAGATTTGTAAATCTTAGCAAGGTCGTAAAAGCTTTTGTTGTTTCTTCTGACTAAATGCAACATAACCATATCTCTGTCTTCTTCTTTCTCCATCTCTTCAGTATAAATCATATACTTATAGTTCTTTTCCTTTCCTTTTGGTACCGAACGTGGTATTCTTTTCTGTATGTTTTTGTCTTTTGCTTCAATGACTTCATCTTTTGCTTGAAGTTTCTTTTCCATCTCTTCACGTTCTTGTCTATGAATTTCATCTAACATCATGAAAATATAACAAGCGTAACGAGGTGAAGCCCACATTGCTACAGCATTTACAAGAAGTCTATGTACATACCAACCTCTCAAACCAGGAGCCAAATTCTTGCGATTTTCGTACGGAATCTCTACCCGCGGTTTTCCTCGGGTAGCAAACATATGAGGAAATTCTTCTAAAAGTTCTTTTGTCTGTTGGTTTTCAAACCAATGATGTGCTTGCTTTGTAGAACGAAGAGCATTCAAAATACTTTGCATTTGGTACATATCGTCTTTGACCGAACGAATGAGACGTAACTGTTTGTTATACTGTATGTACTCATATTCTTCATTTATGTCTTCATGGACGATAGCAGTTGTTGTGTTCTCTGTTGTTGACATATCTGTCCTTACATACAAAATAAAAAAAATATTTTATAAAAAATTAGCGTTATTTTCTTACTTTCACAAAAGACCAAAAATAAACGCTTTACATGTATTTTTCAGCAACTTCGTCAAATAATTTTATAGCTTTATCTATCTCATCTACTTCAAACGTTTCTTTACCTTTTATGGGAGCACCATAAATTTTCTCAAACTTTTCAAGTAGTTCTGTTTCAGCAGCTCTCATATCGTTAACGAACACAACCTTAACTCTATTGACTATACTGTCATATCTTTTAGTTATATTATATGTTCTTCCTATCTTATATCTCTTTGTATTGAAGTCCTTCGGTTTCTGAACGATGTAAAGTAAGCCCTCACTGCAACGTTCAGTATCGAATGAACCATATGTTATGAAGTTATATCCAACAACTGGGTCAATCCATAACAAAACTATTGGTATAAGACTTTTGTCTATAAGATATGCTGTAGTTCCATAGAATCTTACCGATATCATAAGCTCAGGATTTCTTGTCAAAATTTTCTGACTAGAAGCAATTCTAACCCAGTCGATTGCTCTCTTTCCAGATGGAGATAAAATGTCTGACAAAGAATATTTTTTGTATTTCTTTGAGTATCTTACGTTTAAATCACCAATTCGAACCACTTTGGTGTCATTGTCTATCTTTTTAACTGTTTCAAACTCAATGTTTGTCATTTTCTGTTTCTTACATACAAAATAAAAAAAATATTTTATAAAAAACTAACTTTATTTTTTCTATTTTGTATCTTAAGGAAATTCACGATTTTCATGAGTTTTAGGCGACCAGGTTTTTTTCCCTACTCGCAATTTTTTACGATTTTCGTACGGAATCTCGTTCCTCGGTTTTCCTCGGGTCGCAAACATATGAGGAAATTCATGAAATTTGGTCATTTTTTTTACGATTTTCGTATGGAATCTCTATCCTCGGTTTTTCTCGGGTAGCAAACATATGAGGAAATTCATGAAATTTGGTCATTTTTTCACGATTTTCATGAGTTTTATGCAAGACCAAAAAAAGTCTAAATCGCAATTTTTTACGATTTTCATGTATAAAAGATATGATTTCAGGGATTTTTTTACGAAGTGTTAAAGTTCACTTGGTAAAAAAATAACAGTTATATAATGAAATTTGGTCATTTTTTCACGATTTTCATGAGTTTTATGCAAGACCAAAAAAAGTCGGTCTAGAGAAATTTTTTCATTTATCTTGTATAAAAGATATGATTTCAGGGATTTTTTTACGAAGTGTTAAAGTTCACTTGGTAAAAAAATAACAGTTATATAATGAAATTTGGTCATTTTTTCAGCAAAAATATATTTTAGGGTAGATGGTTAGATCTAACCTCTTTTCTAACCTCTTTTCTACCCTCGTGAATTTTCATGACTTCTTCGTATATGTTTTGTCATGACTTCATCGAAATGAGTGTAAATGTTTTGTCAAGACTTCTTCGTAATGAGCGTAAATCAGACAAAAATATATTTTAGGTGAAGAGGTGAGATCTCACCTGTTTTCTCACCTCTTTTCTAACATGGTCTAAAACACACAAAACTCTTAAAATTTCATACGGAATTCAATAAAAATAAAGTTTATGTTAGAATGTTAGATCTCACCTGTTTTCTCACCTCTTTTCTAACATGGTCTAAAACACACAAAACTCATGAAATTTCATACGGAATTCAGCAAAAATATATTTTAGGTGAAGAGGTGAGATCTCACCTGTTTTTCTCACTCTTTTCTCACCTGTTTTTTTTCACGCGTTTTTACATGAATTGTACGATGTATATTGAAATTCTAACAGTTTTTGTAGCTTCTATTTCTTCTGTCAGTAATCGAATGTTTTAACTATGCCGAAAGTCTCTTTATATTTCTTCTTGACATCAGATAGAAGGAAATCGTCAGCTGTTGGATAGTTTTTGTTCAGAAATTCTAACATGTCCATTTTATCTTCTGCTGGTTTCTCTACTTCTTTCTTTAAGTCAGCATAGTCGTTTCGCATACGTTCTATCTCTTTGACGGAGTAGTGATATTTCCTAATTGCCGCTTTACATTTAGAACATTGTGGGTTTTTTTAGCATTGTACATTGAAACCTTACCTGCTAAACAACTAAGGCGTAATGGTTTCTTTAACTCAAAAAGTTGCGGGTTTTTTTGTCCGTTCCATACTCTTATCCTCTTCTATCTTTATTCTCTTATCTTGCCATACACATTTTGCAAACTAACGAAACAAAGTTGTCGTCGTAGGTCTTAAATTCTTCAGATTATATATGTCAATGAAATATACCATGTCGCAATCTTTGTCCATGACTTTGTGGTTGCAATGAAATCCAAGAAACTCATAGTTTACCTTACGTATGAACTTCTTTATTTTACTGAGTCAGTTGCTTTGACTTCAATTTCATCGAATTCAGGAATAGTGAGCTTTTGTTGTTGTATTTCAGGAAGTTTAGGTAGATGTTCCACCAGGTCCTGCATTTCATAAAGATACTGTTCATTTGTTTCATCTTTCGCACTACAGTCTAAATCTCCTTGGAGAAGTTCCTGCTTTATCTTCTGGATTTCTGTTTCGAAAGTATATGAAGAAGGAATGAAGCTTTTCATTTCTACTAACATAGATGTTGGGTTCATGACTAAAGAGTTTGGTGCTGTTGTTGCTAACATGTTCTTACAATAAAATAAAAAATATTTTTTTTTAAAAAAACTAACTTTATTTTTTATTTTTTGTGTGAAAGTGTCAAAATTCATGAGTTTTGGTTGAAAAATACGGTGGAGCCAAAAGTGGCTCGACCTCAAAACAAGCATTTTGTGAAGAATATACCAACCGCCGGAAAACAGCGGGTTGCTTTTTATACAAAATTCAACGGGTGACAAAACATATACGAAGAAGTCATGACAAAACATATACGAAGAAGAAGTTTATTTCCTGGACTGTTGTCAAAATGTCATGTTGTCACACTTTTTCAGAGAAGTTAAAATGACCGAGGGACCGAGGGACCGAGGGACCTGGTGACACCTTCAGTTCTTCAAAACATTTACGATGAAGTCATGACAAAACATGTACGAAGAAGTCTTGACAAAACATGTACGATGAAGAAGTCTTGACATTTTCCTGGACTGTTGTCAAAATGTCATGTTGTCACCATTTTCAAAAAGATGTTAGTTGACCGAGGGACCTGGTGACACCTAAAAACCTTCTACCCTAAAATATATTTTTCAATACTTTTTCAGCACTTTTCCGTAGTTGTATATGAAAGACAATTCGAGATAAAAGTCATAGTACAATGGTATTATATGCTGCACACCATTTGTTGTGAACCAAACTTGAAAGTCAGAGAAACTGTTACTGGGTGGTTCGTAGAATTTAGAAGCAAAGTCATAAACGTCCTTACCAATACATAGAAAAACTATTGTTGCTTGAACTGAAACTTGCATGACACATAACATTTTGAGGGTCAAACACGTTTCTATAAAACTGTCAAATCTGCTGGTGGATGTATAAATTGAAATGGACCATCTGGTGGTAATGGTTCGTTCTGGTTTAGTAACCGAAGAAATTGTGCCCAAGAACGTTTGGTCTACTTTCAAAATAAAACTCTGTATCTCTTGGAGGGTTAATTTCAATCTTTTGAAATGAAACGGTGGAGTTCATCTTGTCATATTCTAGTTTCAGATAGTATGTTCCATTTAGTAAAGAGTCGTATTTTCTTGAAATTCCCAATAGTATTTGTTCATTTGAGTTTGAAAGTCATTTAGAGTTTTCTCAAGACTTTCGTCTGAACGAACTGTAAAGATCCTCATTTCATCAAATTTGTCTATAAGACCATCAGAACCTTTATACTGCCCATGAAAATATACTGCGAACATAAATGCGTTAGTTCTATTTGAAAACAAAACTCTTCTAAATCCTATTGCCTTTGCATCTGAAGGACTTTGAAGCCAACGAATTGGATAGTCAAACCTGTATGAACGGGATGAAATTTCTTCATCTGAAATAGTCCTACCAGCATTTGTAAAGATATAGTCTAACGGTTTTGTATCTGCTACTTTTGTTCTTTGTTTTTCAACCTGAAGCATTTAATATATGTAAAATATATGGTTTTAAAATGGTATGCCATATAGCTTCTTGAATTTGTTAAGAAGTATTTAACGTGTTTTCCATCTGTATCTCTAGTGTTTACATAAGCATAGCCCGCCTTAGTAAAATATACTTGTAATTTCCTATAGTTTACGCCGGTATAAAAGTAGAAGAGTCTTGTTCTTCGCTATAGTAGTAAAACTCAAACGTATGCTCGCCATAGTCTGTAATTTCAATTGTTTCATCTTCTAGTTCGTCGACAAATTCGAATACAATATCTCCAAATTTGCCTTTGTTCTTATTGTTTCAGAACGAGTGACCCAACGTAAGTTTTCAAGTCTATTGTCGTTTCTTATACGGTTTATATGGTCTACAAAAGGTAAATTGTTAGGATTCGTATAAAATGAGTTGCAATGACAATATGTTTAAAATAGTGTTTCCCACCCATCTTCATAATAGCATATCCGTCATTTCGCTCCCATTCGCTTAAAACTCTTTTTGTCTTTTTGTTTCTGACTTCAAATGACTCA